CTCTCCTGACCAAACTATGGGGACCACATTTCCCAGATTGCGGCTACCCCCTATATTTTGAAGATAAGAAATCCAAATATGTAAAAAAAAATGCATGTTTATTCAGAGAAAGTACGTTTTTGTGTCTGATTTCGTAACTTAATTAATAGTTAGCACTAATTAATTAGCATATTTGAGGTCACCCCCAGGAACCATTAAGATTGACACTTAAATCGTGAAAATCCGATCATTAGAACAAAAGTTATTCAGGGTGATATCTTTTTTTTTTGCGGACTGTACATGACCATTGCCTATGAATCATAATTATAGTACATATGGTCTTTGATGAGTAAACTAATTGTAATTTACAAAGAGAAACATGATAAATAAGTTTGTTTAAAAAGTTATGTTTTTTGATCAATTGATTCCAGGTTTGCTAAAGTTATATTAAGTTATATTTAGTACAATACAGTAACTAGTTAGTACAGTAAGAGCTGTTTAATTAGAACAGTTATTATAATAAATTTCTAATTACAGTAGGGAACCGATTATCCGGAACGATCGGGACCATCGCTATTCCGGATAACTGATTTTTCCGGTTTTCTGAAACGCTACAAAAAGCCGTTTTTTTATTGTTAAACCCAACTAAAAAAAAAAAAATTTTTGGAAATAATCTTAAAAAGAAGAAAAAACGATGAAGTAATACACTAATGATTATTTCCAAAATGATGGTAAGGTAAACATCTTTAAAAAAAGAAAGAAAAATCCTAAAATCTTATGAAGAAAAATTTTTTTTTTTAAAATGGTGGGAAAATGTATCGAATGTTGTTCCGGTTTTTTGGTTTTCCGGTTTTCTGATTTCCGAATAACGGGTTCTGTACTGTATATGGTATTTTTATATGTTATAATAGTTTTAGTCTGTCTACATTCTAGTCCATTCAGCTCAGCTTCAATAAATATTTTTTAATTTTGGCTTTATTCATTCAACTTTAATCAATGGTACAAACAGATAAATCATTCTGGAGGAATGAATGGCTATTAATAGCTTGCAAGACCTGTAAAAATTGAATCTAAATACTATTGGAGTAATTCAAGAAGTGAAAACAAACGATGTGTTTGTGTCATCTATACTAGTGAATGATTTGTTTATGAATTATTTCATTCTTTTTGCTTTTTTCAGTATGGCTTAGGTAATATTGAATTAGGATGTCTGCCATGTCGTTGCAATAAAACTGGAACAATTCATGAAAATGTGGATATATGTGACCCCGTATCCGGGAAGTGTGATTGTAAACCTGGTGTATTTGGTCTTAAATGTGATACTTGTCTTGAAGGATATTACAGCTTTTCTGAAAGTGGTTGTAAATGTAAGTGACACTTTATCTTTTTTGAATAACATTATATTACCATGTGAAAATGAAGAAATTGTTTAATAAAGCTTATAATCTAAAGCAGGGATGGGCAAACTATGGCCCGCCAGAAGGTTTTATCCGTCCCGCGGACAAAATTTAAACTTGTGGCAAATATAAACAATATGCATCCATTTTCTTGTCTACTTTGTTTAAAACTATTTTTGTTCTTTATTTTTTAACAAAGTACTGATGGCCTTTTTACTTTCTCAATTTTTGTTCTACAAAACATAAATTGATGGAAATAGTTAGCACAGACAGCTTCAATTGGTAAAATGTTGAAAGCAGAAGTTCTTTATAGAATAGCCATAGATTGGCTCCAACGAGCGTTTGTCTTTCTCGAGGAGCAGACATACGGAATCTAATATAGGTGAATACTTCACACGTGGCAGACTGCACATTTTAAGCTCCAACGAGCGGATTTTTCTGACGGCGCAAGTTCTAACATTATTTATTGAGTATGGAAAAATTGAGCACATGCAACGTCATTGTAAATAATGGTGAAATTATTAAATGTATAAAATGGCTACTGCCTTTTTGGAGTTATTTGTAAAATTTTTTTCACCCCAAAATGGCAACTAAAAAACGCGAAGTTGATTTAGAGTGCCATGCGTTCAATGATGAATTGACTTCATTTTATTTTAGAAGTTAGAATTTTTATTTTAGAAGTTTTTACTCGGCCCACCAAACTTTTTTTTTCTCGAAATTTGGCCCTCGACCAAAAAAAGTTTGCCCATCCCTGATCTAAAGAGCAATTATTCCTTTGGAGGAATCTTTATAAGCAAAAAAATTTTTTTTTATAGAAAAGAAAACTTTCCTTAATTTTTTTTCAATTGTAAATATTTGTTTTAATGTGTGACTATAATCTGCTGTGATTTTATAATGCAATCAAACACTAATGACATTCAAATTTGCAAGTGGCATTTTCAGTGAAATCTTTTGATTAAGAAGAAATACAACATTTGTCTTATTCATATTTAAACATGATTTACAATTTAAATTATAATATTGCCGAAAATTTCAAAAGGATAAATATATGTGGTTAAAATTTTTTTAATTTAATTTAATTTAATAAATTTTTTTCTAGCATATTTAAAAACTTTACATTATTATTATTATGTTACAACAATAACATACTGTACTATGTGCATGACTGGTATGTAAAATAGAAAGCATGATTTTAGCTAAATTCAGTATATAAATATATATTTAATTTAAAAAAGTTATGTGGATGGAAAAAAATGTTTGATAAAAATGAGTTTTCTGAGCTGCAGAGAGAGTCATTGTCATAGAGTAGCAAAATTCCCTGTCAGCATGTCAAGGAATTTTGCTAATTCACAAATCTGTCAGTGAATATATGCAGCAGACAGTTTTTTTTGCCAACTAAAAACGCATCACTGATCGTATCTCACAAATGGCGGGCACTTCATTAAATTAGAATATTTTAAAGACACTGAACTGACCATACAGTTTACCTACACAGCTGCAACTGAGCACAGTTGTTTCCAAGAAATGCTAGGACACGACATAAGCACTCGTTGCAATGCACGCTTCATACAAAACACACATAGCAAAACAGCCCTTACTTAAAAAAAAAAAAAACCTCGTATATATACCCATGGATTATTCTGAATTGTAATTTTTTTTGGATATGATAAATTAATAAATGTGTTTCTCTTATGGTGGTGATAACTGGTATGTTTAATTATTTAAGGGTGTGGTTGTGATGCTAATGGTGCTGCGACACCTCAGTGTGAAGATCCAAGTGGGCAATGCGTTTGTAAGAAGAATGTTATTGGCAAGACTTGTAATCAATGTGCAGTATGTTTATTTTAACTATTCTTGTTTATGCATTTCATGCCTAATTTTATTTTACAGGATATATGCTTAACTAATTAAAATTTTTTGATAAATTGATTTCCAGTTATTAGAAAATATATTATTCAAAAAATATGTACGAGAATTTGTTTTAATCTGTCATATTCAGTGACCAAAAGGAAACAGATTAGGTTTTAACCCAATGACGGTTCTGCGGGTAAAATGTCATATTTTCACCTGCAGTCTTCTCTGCATAACAAAACTGATTTTTACATGTTATTAGATAGGGAAATAGTGTTACTTACTTATCCTCTTTATGCCAAAATGGCACATAAGGCCTCAGATCTTTTTCCCCACTCACTCCTGTCTTTGGCCAGGCAACACGCTTCTTCCCATCCAGTTAATCTTGCTTTACTAAGATCTTCCTTGATGCATCTTTACCATGTTAGTCTTGGTCTCCCTCTTTTTCTCTTTCCGTCAGGCACCCATGAGCTTGCAACATTTGCAGGATTGTTTCTATCTGTTCTTAGTATATGGCCAAACCATCTTCATCTTCGTCTTCGAATTTCTTCATTAACAGATGAGATATTAGCCTTTGTTAAAAGGTCCTTATTTGTTATATTATTGGGCTAGAAGATTTTTAGTATTATTTTTAAGCATCTATTTGGAAAAGTTTCAAGTTTTTCTTTTTCTGATTTCCGGGGACTGCAGCATTCGGTATACAGAAGAATGGAACGCACAGTAGCCTTATAGACATTTATTTTTGTTTTTAATTCTATATTTGAGGCTCTCTAACAAATGTACAGACCTCAGAAACAGGATCTAGCTTTTCTGATTCTCTGGTAAATATCATCGTTACTTCCGCTGTGTTTGCTATGTTTAATAACAATAGCTCCGAAATAAACAAAATAATCAACCTCTTTGATCTTTTTAGGGTTGATTTCTCTACTTCTGTTAGATTTCGCATTTATTCTCATTATTTTTGTTTTACTTTTATTAATTTGAAGGTCAATTTCGTTAGCATATTTGTAGTTGTTATGGAGACAATGTCGTCGACAAAATCGAGGTCTTTTAAAGTGGTGTAAAACTTCTTTTCTATTCCTCTTTTCTGATTGTGGAAAATAGTGTATTAGGGAAAAATATTCTCCTAATTTGGTCCGTATGCTAAACCACTATTGGTTTAAGCTTTACATATTAATGAATTATTATTTATAAATTAATTGATTGTAAATTATTTTTTAATTAATAGAAATCATAAATCATTTATTAATAGTATCTCTCTGAACAAGAAAACTGAATGTTACAACGAAGTTTTTTGACTATACCACTGATTCCCTTTGTACTAAATGTTGAACAGTATCAGATAATTTTTATTCAAATTAAATCATGGATTACAAGTATGTGAAAAATAATTTCATAATAATATAATGGAAAGTTAAAGAATAATTTAAGATTAAGAGTTTCAAGTTGAGTTTTTTAAGCAGCAGGTATTTTTGTTAATTTTTTTTTTTATAATTATTTTTATTATCATGTTAGTTAAACTCTGCTGACCAGTAGTTAAAAAATGTTTATTATTTTGTCTTACCCCAAGGAATCGTAAAATCGTATTTCTCACGAATTTTAACAAAATAATTTTCATATTTCTTTACAAAATAAACTTCAGCTAAGTTATGATTTTATGCTAACAGATGTGATATATTTATTTTAAACACAAAAAACTTTCATATTCTTGTACATTGATACATAAAAATATACGATGCTTGTTTTTATGGTGGATGTAAGTCCTTTCAGTCCCTGAGGGGATTTTTTTTTTCAAATAAAAGGAATTATCTCTTTGTTAGTAAAATTTTCTTAAATTATAGTTTAAGTCATATAATTTTGCTGACTTTATATTATAAATTTTTATGATTTCTTTAAATAGTTACAAAATAATTTTTTTGAATATTCTACTCTCAATTTGGATCAGAATTAAAAAAAGAATAGTATCGAGATAGGCTCCTTATAGAATCGTGAAAAAATATTTTTCAAAACACTTGAAACTTCTCAAGCTATTGTTGTTGTTTCTAATGACACTTAGACGAGCCAAGCTAGCCACCTATTGGTATTTTCGAGGTTCGCCTTTCTTCAGAAAGGTGTGCCTTTCATTTGACAAGTCAGCACTGCAAGGGTGAAAGTACATCTTGTACTAATATCCCACAAATGGATATCAGTACCACTCATTCCTGAGACTACTTCCCTTATTTAAACACAGATCTAAAGAGGAAGGAATATTTTCAGAACCCTGTTACCCATTGTATTCTCGGAGACCAACGACAGGACTTTTTACTCCACAGATTTTACGAGCATGCATATCACATGTACTCGGTGGGTCTTAGCAGAGTTGAGGATCGAACCTCGGCCCCTTGGGACCAAAGTTCGATGTTCTAATCACTGGTCTACCACGGGAAGTAATTTAAATTTGATTAGTGTAGATGCAATGTTTTGATGAAAAAATTAGTAAATTTTTTAATCTTAATTTTTTTTACTAGAAATTTATGCAAGTACAAAGATGATATTTTTTAATATAGCCTGAAACCTGGAATTTGTTATCCGGTAAAGGATGTGAAGATTGCAAGTGTGATGAATTGGGATCTGTAAGCTTAGTGTGTGATGAATTCAATGGGATATGTACTTGCAAACCAGGTGTTGGTGGTGACAAATGTGACATGTGTTTACAAGGTTATTTTGGATTTTCCACGACTGGATGTAGAAGTAAGAATTCTATATTATTGTTATGTAATTGTTGATTTATTATTAAATATAATTTTGTATTGTTATATGATTGCATGTGATCATTTGGTATGTTTTTCTTTAGAAAGATACGAGTGAAATGAAATTTATATACCTCTATTTTTTGTTTTGTTTTTAAAAAAATCTGAATTTTTATTTTATGCTCTAAGTTAATTTTTTATTTTTTTAAAATCACTTTAAAGTTTATAAAAGTACTCAGTGAACTTTCTTGGATTGAAGTTGCAATATTTTTCATTAACTCAAAATGATTAAAAAAAGCAATGACCTTGATCGCAGTATCAAAAAAAGCTAATTAAATTTTTATCTTCATTTTAAAAATTCTGTTACTTTTTTTAATATTGCATAAAATGATTGGATTATTTATTTATAGGATTTTTTTGTTAACATAATTTCATATATACCACATTAGGGATTAATCTTTTTAAATTAATACAAATGGTGAGTTTAGTGATATGTTGTGCGGAAGAGGAGTGAATGCTGTTTATATTGTAAAATTAATAAATAAATAATATGTTTATAAAATATAATAATTTTATAAAATATAATATTAAATCTAGCATTTCATTTTTGTATACCTATCTCTTTTACCATTTATAATTTTCTTCAGAAATAATATGTTTAATGGAATTAATACAAATGGTGAGTTTAGTGATATGTTGTGCGGCAGAGGAGTGAATGCTGTTTATATTATAAAATTAATAAATAAATAATATGTTTATAAAATATAATAATTTTATAAAATATAATATTAAATCTAGCATTTCATTTTTGTATACNTATTTATAGGACTTTTTGTTATTGATATAATTTCATATGTACCACAATAGGGATTCATCTTTTTAAATTATTACAAATGTGGAGTTTAGTGATATGTTGTGCGGCGGAAAAGTGAATGTTATTTTATATTAAAATTAATGAATAAATAATATTTTTATAAAATATAATAATCTTATAAAATATAATATTAAATCTATCATTTCATTTTTGTATACCTTTCTCTTTTACAATTGTAATTTTTTAAGAAATAATATGTTTAATAGAATAGTTGTGTATTTTTTCACCAAGTCTTAGTGTAAATTATTTTGCTATGCATATCCTGTTGCTGCTTCATTAACTTTAAAAAGCTTTTCTGACTGGCTTTGAAACTATATTTTCCTGAATTTGATTACTGCAATTTATGTTATCTCATAACGTAAAAAATATGAAATAGAAACATCACATTATAATAAAATTTGTATGGACACAGTAAACATTTTATAATACTAAAATGTAATTCATTTATTATGATAAAAATTATGTGAACCTTATTTTAGAATGTGAACCTTGCCAAAATTCTGGACATGTCTGTGATCCTGATACAGGGTTGTGTGTTTGTCCTCCTAATACTGAAGGTGAATACTGTCAACGATGTACTTCATCATCATGGGGTTATGATCCAGTTCAAGGATGCAAGGTAAAAACATTATTTGTATTCTTGTTTATATTTTATTTGCTCAAATCATTATAATATTTTAAATTGAATACAATTATCAACAAGAAAGAAATTGTTTTAAATTCAGCCAATAGTTTCATTTGTTCTTTCTTTGCATTTGTATTTGTTTCTGTTATTAAGCACATCGTACAAAAACTAGAAAATTTTGTAATAGTTCAATAAGAAAAAGTTTTTTTTAAAAACGTGTAGAATTTAATAACCTAATAATGTAGAATTTAATAACCAACCTAAAAATATGAAAAACTAATTAAAAATATAAATGCCTCCAAAATAAGACGAAATTTAGGAAAATGAGTGTGAATATACAGATTAGAAAATCTTCTTCTTCAAACTTATTTAAAAAAAAAAAAAGCTTTTTGTATCCTGATTTAATTTTTCAATGTTAATATAAACTTAATGCAACAAGAAGGTGCTCAGTAGCTTGTAATCATACTTATTATTTATTTTTCTTGATACATATATATAAAAACAAAAATCTCATAATGAATGAAGCAGATATTGAAGTATGATAAATGAAAAATTCATTACTTAATTTTACACTTGTGCTGTTGCGATTTACAAAGCTTCAGTAAAAATAATCTTTCATAATTTTTTTTAACTTTGTACCCAGAAACAAATTAAATCAAATGTCACATACATTTATTCCAAGCAATGTGCTTTGAACTTTGAACCTTAAATTTCATAAAAGAAAATTTTTTTTAGTAATTTTGATAGGGTTGTACCTTGTACCTTAGGTTAATATAAAAATTGTCTTAGAAATTATTTAAGTGAAGTTAGTTTATGAAAATTCGGAAAGGTTGTTAAAATACAAGCTTCAAATAATAAAACAAACACTTAAAAAAATTTCTGTTTTTCACATAGAGAACAAATTTATACATCATGTAACCAAAGATATTTGATACTTGTATTGTGACAAACCTTTAACTCTAATTATTCTTTTCAGCTTTGTGATTGTAACTTCAGGGGCTCCCCAAGTGATAATATTTGTGATGTAGATAATGGTAATTGCATTTGTCATGAAGGTTATGAAGGGAGACGGTGCGACAAATGTCGATTCGCTCATTATCAGTTCCCGGATTGTATGAGATGTGAATGTCGTTATGATGGTACAGATCCTTCCCAATGTACAGCTGAAGGTCTATGTCAATGTGATGAAAATGGTCAATGTCCTTGCAAGGTGATACTTTTGTTCTTCATATTCCTTTCATAGTATTGTAACAATCACCATAAATCTTTTTTTAAAATACTTTATTAATTTAAAAAAATATGCTCACTAGAGTTATCAAATATTTGAGAAAAAGAAAAACTACAATGTTTCAGAAAGCTGAAAAATCACTACTGAGGAAAGTGGGACTGAAAACATCAGAATTCTTTTGATAGCCAGGCGAAGCTGGTGAGTGGAATGGTGATAATTAAAAATACGTTCTGCGATTCAACCAGGCGTTATAACTGTTTTGGATATTCATCTCGCTTTCCTAACTAGTGATTGTGATAGTCCCTTTTCCTTGCTTAAATTTTAAATTGAATTGAGACTTTTAACGTGATTACTCTGATGAAGAGACTATATCTTTTTTTAATTGTTTTTTTTTTTAAATCTATGATATTTTATTTATTTTAATAATTTTCTTCTTCTCTTTTCAATATTCTGTAATTTTTTCCATGTTATTTCTACATTTTGAACTTATTTTATGAGTTCTACATACTTATGCACAGTAAATAATACTTTTAATGCAGGAAAATGTAGAAGGAGTTAAATGTGAATTTTGTAAACCTGGAACTTTTGGATTGGCTGTTGATAATCCACTTGGGTGCTATGAATGTTTTTGTTTTGGCAGATCTAAGGATTGCAAGCAAGCAGAAATGGTTTTGTCTCAAGTAAGTTTTTTTAAAACCTATTTGATGCATGTCTGTATCAATTTACCGACTATGTTTTGACTATGTCTTTTATTATCGTATAAAAATTTTTTTATTTATAAAAAAAAGCGTGTGAGGTATACCACACCCCAAACGAATAAAACAGTAGAATCTTCCAAATCTGTTTAAACCAAAATTACCTATTGCATTTAGTGCTATATTTTATTATTTAAAAATATTATATTAGTTATTTTAATGGTTTATGGTTATGAAAAATACGGCCTGAAATACCAGTGTCTTTTTTTTGCACTTACAGGTAAAATCTTCCAGACTTAGCTCACTTCCAAACAATATTTTTTCAAGTTCGATTATCTACATAGATCTAAAAGCACAGTAATTGATTAACTTTTGAATATGAATTTTAAAAAAAATTTCAAACTACTTCTTTTTTGGATTTTTTATTTTAAAACAAATATAATTCAGATAGTCTAACAAATTTTTTTCTCTTTATAATCAAAAAATTACCAAAATATATTTTTGCTTGTAATTTGAGCATCAATAAAAATATCTGTATAAAAGGGAGACTGGTGTTCCATTTTCACCAAAGAGTTAACATCTAGTGTTTCATTTTTGAAATAAATTTTCATGCTTGTGAAAGTTACTAAAAATTTGTGTAAATGTAAATGACATCATGACTTATTTTAACGAAAATTGTTAGATTTGCTTTTTTCTTTTTAGCTAAGTTATATGTTTTCAAAGTCTTCAAATATGATATTTCTGAATGGTGGAATTGTCCTAGTGCTTCTTATTCTTTTTCAAAATCGCACTTGCACAAAACTTATTTATTCATAAATTTTTAAAAAATATTTTCCATCTATTTTATTTTAGATTACCACTCCTCCCCGAGAAGTTATATTCGAATTAGGAAATACTCCTTTGGGCCTATCATCTCATAAATTTCTTCTAATACCTGGACAAAATGGAAATGTAAAATTGGGAATTCCCTACATTATTGCTCAACCAGTATATTGGATGCTCCCGAAAGAATTCCTTGGAGAAAAGGTAGTCAATTGTTCTGCAACTCTATTCTTTCAATTAAGTTTTATAATATTTCAGTGATATTTTGTTTGAATAAAGTTAAAATTTAATATAATAAGACTGTTTAAAATTTTGGAACTAACCTGGAGCTTAGAATTAAAAAAGTGAAAATATATGATGTACTGTACAGTAAATTGACTGTATTTTCTTCTACCTTGGTGAAAATGGTAATATGGTTGGAAAATAAATTAAAAGCATTACTTCGTTTTTTAAATGTTGTAGGGGCAGCACACTAAGTCATAAAAATATATTTAATTGGATGCAAATGGTCAAAAGCAAAATCGAAAAAATCTCCTCTTTTACATCTTCTAAAAATTAAAAAACTGCACAGTCAAACTCATTGTTTTAATAATGCAGTTATGGCTCAAATAATGATAGTTTGGTGATGTAACAAAATATCTTATCTATCCATAAAAAAAATTTAAACTGCAAGTCCAAGGTTAAGAACAGAAAGTTTTCAAACATTAATTTGCAAGCCAAGGCCTGCTGCAGTGCCTTAAAAATAGAACATATGTTATATACCATTTCAGGAAATGGCTATAGATACAAATAAATAAATTTTTTTCAATTAATGTTTTATTTTATATTACTTATTAATTACTGTTAAGTATTCTGTTTTTATGTAAGAACAATTTTGATAATGTTTTATGAATTTAAAAAAATATATTTTTTTAGACTAGATCATACAATGGTGTATTGAAATTTCATATTGAGAGTCGTAGCTCCAGACGTTATCCTGATCCTCAGTTGTTCATATATCCACTTGTTGTAATAGAAGGTAACAACCGCAATCTTGTCCATTCACCATTTATGCCTATATCTGGTGGAAAATACAGTGTTCGCTTTCGCGAGGTATTTACATTTTTATTCTATTAAAATAAATTAAGAAGTTTAATTTGTGTTTTGATTATTTTCAAATACATTAAGAATTTTTCATAATTTAAATATGTACATCATCCTATTTTATGAGGGGACCTCTTTTGCTTGATAACAAATTGTGGTATTAAGGTCAAGTTCTATTTTTTCAAAGTAAGGCACTGAATGCTGTAGAACCCTTTACATAAGCTGGTTTGGAACGTCAAATTACATTTTATTCCCAAGACAGAAAAATTTTCTTTTTGATCTTCATGTTTTAAACAGAATAAACTTTCTTTTATGCCGTTTATCTTAAAGATAAATTTTATATTTTTACTGCACTCATACTAATATTAAATGTACTATTTGTTTTGGTCTCTCTTGGTTTGGATTTTATGTTCGAAGTTATTGATGTGTAATTTTTGATACAATCATTTTGTTAATTATGAATTTGTTATCTATTTTCAAAGTTAATATTATTTTTATGTGAATAATATTTAGTCAATTTATTAAGCCACTTTATCAATTTCTTTAAAAAAAATGTTGCCTGGAAGAATGCGAATGGACACCTTATAGTGTCCCACTTAAAAATAACTGCATTTTAAGGTTTTGGCACTTAAAAAACGTCCTCTTTCGATTTTAAAATTGTCTAAATGAGTATATATGTGGCTTAGTGCAAGAACAGCCAGTCTCAATATTTAATGAAGTGTGTTATCAACTTAATAAACTTCTATCAGCAAAAACAACTTAAGTCAAATTTAAGAAATAAAAAGAATGAAAAATTTCTTCCATTGATCCAATGTCATATCATGAATATGATTTTGTTCACTGCAATATTTTTTCAAGAATTTGACAAGCTTTTCTTCGTTTCTATTTGCTATCTATTTTTTAAATTAAATTTTATTGTAATCTGTAATATAGGATGAATGGACTCAAAGAGAAAATCCTGAAGTTCCTGTAACTAGAGCTCTCTTGATGTTAGTTTTACAGAATGTTCAACAAATTTTAATTCGAGCCACTGAAGGTGCTGATGTAAAAATTTCAAGGTATGGCAGTCTGCTGCTGCTGTGGTCGTTTATTGCTATATATATGCATCATTTTCCCAGTTGAGATTATCAAAATTTGGACTAAAGGGTGTTGGTAATCTAAATTAATGATCTTATATTTATTTTCATATTTTTTTACCCAATTTATTATGAATGAGGTAATTCAGGTAATTTTTTTGCGATACAAAATAGTCATGCTACTAAAAATTGCGTTAGCTGTAATGCCACATTGAGTTGCATTTAGTTTTGAAACTGGGTATGTTCTAATCATGTTTTGTATGTTTTAAGCTTTTGTGAGTTTGTGATTAATATTATTAACATTTATCTATTTTTTTAAATTTGGGTTTATAGTCTAGTTTAAAATTTTGAATCTAGTTTTAATGAATCAAGCAAAAATTAGTTGAAATGAAAGAGGTAATAATTTTCAAAATCAGAACTTTTTTGCTTTTTTTTATTGCAGTTGTAATATTTTGTCTTTTGAATATGAAGTAAATCGTTATACATTTTTGTAGAGTAATATGGTGAAAAAGTTCACTTAAAGAAAAGCAGAGGTAACCAATTTGAAGTAGGTAACCAAATTCAGTATTGGTATTTAAAACAACTACCAATATACACATCACAATATATATTAATTTACAATTTAAAAATAATCTTAATTTTAATTTTATAAGTTTTTAAATCAAATTTTAACTACTTTATTTGTATAATTGCATACATATTTTAAGAAAATGATGTTAGTTTTTTATAATAATGTTACAAATAGATTAAAGTTTATACATAAATTTATTGTTTGAAATTTATGTCAAAATATGAAAAAATTCTTATTACAATTCAAATTAAATATAATGTACTTTTGCTTTATACTATTTTTTAAATCTTCTATTGTCTTAACCATTTCATATTAAAAAGTTGAATTTGCAACTGTTTTCTCTGCGTCATGTTAGTTTCTAAAATAGTCAGCCTAGTATTTTATTTTGAATCACAGTGTGCTAATATTTCTGAAAATTCAGTAAGGTATAAAAAGTTCACTAATGTTTGTAATATTGTAGAAATAAGATGATAGATTATAATAAAGTTATACATTGGCTATATCTTTCATTTAATATTTACAGTTAATTGACATAAATTGTTATTATAAATACTTTCATTTTAATATTTTTACTGAAAATTAAATTCGAGATAAAAAGGTAATAAACTTATTTTTTGTGTGTCAAATGAAATAAAATTATCTTTGTAGTAATAAGTATGTGCTATGCAAATAAATAATTTATAAATTATTTTAATAATGTTTTATTCTTTCTCCTTACAGTGGCAACCTTTTAAGGTGAGTTTAATGATTTAGTTTCCTTATTTTAATATCAAACTTTTTCATTGATTGTTATAAATATTGAGAGATGATTTTTTTTAAACATTAGAATTAAAGATGTCAGCATGGAAGTAGCAGTTCTATTGTCTCCCACTCCAGCGTCTCCTTATGTAGCTGTTGGAGTTGAAATTTGCAAGTGTCCTAAAGAATATAGTGGATTGTCCTGCCAAGTACGTACACATGATTGAAATTTGGAGTTTATAAATTATCTCCTAATTTTCATAGGAAGAGAGGTTGCTATAAATAAAATTCATATTTTTAGTGGGATACCTGCATAGTGTGGATAGACCAATCCTGATTGGTTGTTGAAACATATCATTTGTTTACATTAGCAACTGTTCTTTCCATTCTATTTAGAGTAAGCCAGCTTGTGAAGTATTAATTCTCTTAAGTGACACATTCTAAATTCTTTCTCAAAGATTCACTATATATTTACACAGAGACTTACACAAAGACAGGCACGAAGCCCTGTGGAACATAAAAAACTAATTATATATCCAAGTTGCCAGGTACACAAAACAAAAATATATCAGAGTTACAATAAAATACATAAACAAATAATAAATCTAAGTTAAATAAAAGAAGGAGACGAAAAAGAATAACTAATTTGATTGGCTATACGGCTATGTATTTAATTAACTTATCGTTAATTATTATTCTGACTTTTGTTGAGAAACAGCTTAACTTTAATACATCATTTTACTGATAAAGACTAGCTGGCACTGATGTCATAGGTCACATGTGTGGATATGGGAGGTCTTCTTCTTGAAGTGCAAGTACCCTAGTCTGACAATAAAAATTATTAATATTCCTTCCATATTGTTAGTTTCATAAATATGTAAATTAAAATGTCAAGTTCATAATATTTTACATTTAATAAACAAACAGGAGAAAAATATACTTTTTGTGAAGTAATTTTTAAAAAAAATTTTTCATGCCACCAAAAGCTTTTTAGAATTTTTTTTAATTTCATATGAAGTGAAAGTCCTATGGGCAAATAAACTTGAGATAAAAATAATTTTTCTAATATTTATTATTGACCTTTTTTTTGCATGTTGTGCTAACAACAATTACTGTTTTCTACTGTTCAACTATTCGTTTAGCATCAAAGTTTAGTAGGAATTAAAATTTTGTGTCCAGAACACATAAATTATAAACTTAAAAAATAATTATTAACAAAGCAATGTGATACAATTAATTAACTTTGTTTTGTATCCTGCTTTGTTTTCTGCTTTACGTGTTGTGTTAGAAAATATCATCTCTTATCAAAACATTTTTTCCATTTTGCATCAAATTTCAGTTGAAATTAAATTTTTATCTGGAAAATATTTAGTACACATTAAATTATAAGCTTTAAAAATGATTAAAATTAATTAACTTTTATAAATTTTCTTCATTTTTTCTTATTTTACATGTTGTGTTAGAAAATATCTGTTTTTATAGCTAAAATTTTTCATTTAGCATGAAATTTTAGTAGGAATTAAAAATTTTTGTCTGGAAAAATTTCTTACTCATATAATTATCCGATAAGCAATTATATGATCCAAATTAGTAACTTTGAAATTTTATTTGGTGGAAAATAGTTTTTTTAAAATTTAAGGTGTATGTTACCTTCAATTTGATGATGAGGGCAACAAATTTAAACTGGAGTAAAATGAAGTTTATATATTATGATGACAGTACTTTTTTACTTTATGTATTTTATCCTTAAATTTTAGATATTTATATATTTAAAAAAAAACTTCAATTATGCTTTGTTTACTTGATTACATAAATTTTAGGATCCAGGTAAAGGGTATTATCGGAAGAAAAAAATAAATTTCCAGAACAGTACCGACTTAATCGATCAAATTGGAATATCTGTGCCCTGCCCATGTAACAATCGAAGTGATATTTGTGATCCTGAAACTGGATTTTGTCAAGTAAGTTTTTAAAAAAATTATTACTACTTAAAAATATTTTTATAAATCTCTGCCTACAAAGTGCTTATTTTTCTTGTTTATTTCTTAGAATTGCAGAGAAAATACAGCAGGTGCTTTTTGTGAGTTATGCGCAAAAGGATTTTTTGGTGATCCTACTAGAAGTCCATGCCAACCTTGTGAATGCCCGCTGGTCAATAACAGGTAAAATGAAATATTTGCTTCATGCTTGCTTAACAAATGTAATTTTACTGTTTTTTATTAAATAAATTATTTTCTTTTTCTTGTAGTTTCAGTGATACGTGTGATTGGGATATAACTGGTCATGTTTGCACTAACTGTCAACTAGGATATGAAGGAAAGCATTGTGAAAAGTATTTATTATTCTATTTTTATTTGATTTCATTGTTAAAATATTTTCACTTATTATTTATTACCTGTGCTTAGGCTCATAGTGATCCTGGTCAAACAGATCTATTTTATTTTAAATTTTATTGCACTGGGAGATGTCTATTTTAAAAAAGTATGTGTGGCTTTAATTCTATTAGGTTACTATTTTTTATTCAGATATATTTTAATTTTCATAATTGCGACAAGATTTGTCTTAAATATATTTTGTTATAAATATATTAAACTGTGAATTACAATTATCATTTACAATTAATCATTTACAATTACATATAAAAAATATTTTTCAATGAGGTAATATATCAATTTATGTTGATTATTGTTTATTAATATGTAAATTGCCAATATAAATTAATACAAAATTTTTCAGTTTTTGAAAATTTAATGATCTTAAATAGATTTGTAGAATGTTTTTGGTAGCTTTTAAATTGAGTGGTCTTTGAGAATCACCTAGTTTACTGTTATCTAAAAATAACCTTTTTAATAAATAGTATCTGTCTTATTATTTATCAATTTATGTAGATTATATTTTATTAATATGAAAATTACTAATGTGAATGGTGACAAACTTTGCCTATTTTATAAAATTAAGTAACCTTATTACATTTATAAATTAAATGGATGTCTTAAGCAACTTTTAATTTCAGTGGTCATTCAGAATCCCCTAGTTTGCTTCTACCTTAATATAGCCCTGTAAATAAATTTAAATAGTTTGTGTCTTCTTTACTTATATGAAGCGTTAATTTCTAGATGCTCCCGAGGCTTTTATGGGACTCCTACCATGATGGGTGGACAGTGTCTTGCATGTAATTGTAATCCCTATGGCTCTTTAGATCGCATTTGTGATCGAATGACCGGTCAGTGTCACTGTCGAAGGGGTATAACTGGTCGTGACTGTACTCAATGTAGCCCTCGTCACATCCTTACAGACATTGGTTGTAAATGTAAGCATTTATTAAATTCTCTTATATAATAAGCAAATCTTCTGTCTTTTATCTTGTGTAATCTGTCTCTAATCTTCTGTCTTTTATTTAATGTTATATTTTAATAATTTTGTTGTGAATGATTTTCATGATTTGTATACTTTGAAAAAAAAATTATTTGAAAAGTATTGCACCTACCTACCTGGGTCAGAGATTTAAACCACATTTTTTAATTTTAATGATATTTTATGAAATTAGAATGGATAAAAGTAATGTGTTTACATTTACTGAATATCTGACTACACTTTGTTACTTTTAAATTATTTATAATTGAAGTTGAGAGGTAAATTGATGGAGGATGCATGTTACACTTTATATAATATTAAAAGTGTCCTTAAAAATTTTATTTATGTTCCTCCATCTTCTTAGCCCTTCAATTTTATAAAATTTAATTTTGAAAATATGTTTTTTTAATAAATGTAAGGATTTAAGGCAAAAATAATCTTAATAAGTTTTCCTTATATTGTATTATTTTATTGGAATAGATTGTTTGGTAAATAAATAAATATTTATTTTATTTGTTTTAAGTTTCTTTAATCAGATGTTTAATAACATCAAAATTTGTATTAAAATTACTGTGATACAAAAATTGAATTTCTAAACTATTTAAAGATCTAATGTTCTTATATAAATTTCACTCCAATAGGTAATCTAAATTTTCATGAATGCTTTTTGACTTTCTTGTCATTAAATTTGCTTGTTATTTCATAGATTTGCCTATGATCAATACTTTTGAGTAGAATTAATGTCATGTCAAGTCAATATTTTTAAAGTAATTCTTAAAAGTATCAAAATAATATACATTAATTAAATTAATTATGCAAATTTTATAAATTATATAAATAGTTTTAACAATTTGTCTATTAAAACTAGCACTTTATGGAAATAGAATTGTGCAGAATAAAATTAGTCTTATAAATACTCATGCAGTCTTTGACTACCTACTCAAGCTGATTTGAGTGTTTTATTTAGACACTGTAAATTTTTAATTATTTAATAAATTAATATAATTTACAAAATTAAATTTAATAAATTTTTGTTTAGCTTTCTCCTTCTCTCTTATATACATTCCAATTATTACTAAATAATCATTGCTCCTTTTATTGGATTGAAATCATGGTCCAAAATGCTTGATATTAGTTTTAGAATTCTGAATTTTTGTTTTGTCTTCCCAGCTTGTGATGATCATTGTATTGGACCTCTTTTAAATGATGTGGACTTTTTAGTTGAGTCCTATGCTAAACATAATTTATCAACCTTCTCTCCTCGACCATGGATCCCTTTACTTCAAATAGATAACCAAACTATTGCATTACAGGTATGTCTGACATTATTTTCACTAAAATCTATTATAAATATAAATTTTAGTATATGTATATATACGAGTTATTATTTTTATAAATTTTTGAAAGAAATATTTCATTATTGGGTACTTTTGTTGTTCAGCAATATTTATTTGTGAAAAACTACTTTTATCTTCAATCCCACTATCCATATATCCCTATATCCATAGAAATATATGTACACTATGTAATATCTAGTATTAGCCAAATAAATAATGGTTTGAATAATAATTATATGTAGCGTTGTAAGAGTAAGTGCTTGTAAAATATTTATAAAAGTTTTCTTACATTACTTTTTATTACAAAACTTATTTTACAAGTATTTTATTACTATAGTTTTTTACGGAAGTTTAAATCACTAAGAGGCTTCTCCTCTTGCTTGCACCAAAATTCAACTGCCATATGCCGGGCAGAGATCTGGTATGGCAAGAATCTGATATTTCTTCTCCTTTCATCGAAAGGAAAAAATTAGATGCACTCTGACTTAAAGAGAATTATAGGGAAGTTCCTTCCTTTGTTTAAGATTGAGGGCAGTTAAATAGAAACGAAAAGTATTCCTAAGAAGATGTGTAGGGGAGAGGGGAGCACATGTGAACAGGGGGCAGATGTGAACATTGTATGTTTTACCAATATGATTTGAAATAAAAAATCTTGAAAAATTTTCAATTGATGGCAGTACTAGTCCTACCTCTCTGCAAAACTTTCAGAACAATGAGCCATTTTGTTATTCTATTCTGACAATTTCTTTGTATCAGCTGGTGTTGTATATATTATAATCACTCGCTTCTTCATGTGAAAGTATAGTATAAATCAACTGATAAGCTAAAATTAACTATTGCAGACCATTATATAAACATTCAGGTAAGTTCATGAAAAAAAAAATTTTTTTTTTTCAATTAAAAATTCTTTATTTTTCAAGTAAGGTTTAAGAAGGATGGTGGGGCACTTGTGAACAAATCATCTGGGGCAGATGTGAACAGTTCACATGTGCCCCTACATAGTATTAAGATTATTATCCTCATGATATTATAAGTTTAAAAAATATGTATGCATTTAAAATTATCATTATTTAATTTTCCATAATTAATTTATTAATTTTTCCTTTAAAAAAATTTTTTTTTATTAAATGGTTGATCGCGCATCACGCATATTAACTGATACACCTGAGAAAATAGAATTGCTAAAGCTACAAATGAAAAGATAGAAAAAATGAAAAAAAAAGCATGAAAGAGTATTAGAGAAGAAAGAAAAAGGCCCATTACAACACCCGTGGAACATGAAGTTGCGAAAAACCCAATTACGGATAAATTATTGTACAGCTGAAAAATTATTTTCTTATTGACAGTACTGTTGTACAATTTAAATTCACATAGTAAGCTACAACCCCCTCAGTATAATGCGTATCTATATCTGTTATATTAAAGATTTTTTTTCTTTGAAATATGATGATTGCTTTGTGTTTTTAATCTTGTTCATATGTGCCCCAGGCCTGTTCACATGTGCCCCCAATAGGGGCACATGTGAACAATTGAAGTTATTTTTTTAAAATATCATAAAGTAAGGAAATATTTTATTGAAAATTCTCAAAAAATTCCATAAGTCAAAGAAAAGACTATTTAAACATATGAACTTCTTTACTGTGAGAAATTGATGATATTTTTTGAAAATTGAAGAAATAAAAAAAATTGTTCACATGTGCCCCCTTATCCCCTACCTGTATAAGTAACATTGGATATCATATAATTATTCTTTATTTAAATTAAGTCATATACAACCTATTTTAACTTTTTTTTTTAAAACTGAAAATTGATTTGAAGTGTGCAGCAGCACCGTCCTTTGAACTTATGACCTGTACCTTTAAAAATAAATTTGTTAAATATTTGACTGAAATAGTTACGTTTTACTGTTAAGTTTATTTAAATTTTCATTGGTTTGGAAGCTTTTATAAAGCTTTCTTAAGCGTTGTATAAAGATGAAACTCTGATATATGTTTGGAAATTTCAGCTATTATTTAATCAAAAAATTTTATAAACAGATACTTAAGCAAAATAGTATTTTTTTTTTTATCTTCTGTGTATTTATCTACTATTTAAATTTTTTTTTATTTTCATGATCTTTCAAATCAACTACAATGAATTCACTTTTTTTTAAAATTTTTCAAAGCTGTATTGTATATTTTCATAATATTATTCAACTGAGGCAAATTAGTTAATTGTATATTTAGTTATTGTTTGGTTGTTTAATTCATGCACGTGAAAAGTTACTATTGTTATTCTCCCTTTTTGTGAAAATAGCTGCAAAATATTACCACCCAACTACGCCTTATTGACATTACATCCACTCCAATATAGAATAGAATATGTGAACATTTGGATGCAGTAAAAAGGAAAATGTCAGAACCTTGATAATATTTTATTCGTGATATTATTTTGTATAGTGAAATGTAACCATGTATTTTATTTTGTAGAAGTCCATTTTGAAGTATTACAATGTCCTCGAGGAAGGTCAAAATATATCTCGTCACTTTGTAGCAGATTTTGATTTTGAGACGCTTGCAGACTTGATGTATTTAAGGGTAAACTTAAATTATTTACTTTTCTTCTGAATTTTACTTTAATAAGTAAATTACTTTTTTAAATGAAATTTTACAATTTTAGGGACGAGATATCAATATCAGAGGACCTATCGTAACATTTGATGCATTTGAGGTAAAGGAAGATTCTGATGTTTTGTTTAAAATGTTAGAGAAAATTTGGAGAAGCATTCATGGTAATTTTTTAAAATTAATTTTTTTCATTTTTGTTTTTTTTCTTGATTAGAATCAAATATAATGAAATTCATTTTTTATTCTCCATTACTAACTTTTACTTGATTGGTTTTATAAATTTTTTAAGGGTACAATTTATTAACAATTAAGAGAAAACTTAGTAAAATGTAGTAAGTTATTTTATTGTGTCTTTAAGGAATTTTAATGCATTTTAGATAATAAGGAGCTCACAATGATTAACTTTATTGCACCACAATATGGAAAAACTCAGCTATCATTGAATTTTTTTTTAATAAATGCCTATTTTCTTTCTTAGTTCTGATTACATTTTTAAATATTTAAATTTATTTATATTCATTTTTAGGTGCTGTAAATCATTTGCAAGTGCAAGGGGCTAATTTAAATTTTTCTGCTGCTGCAGTTGAAGAAAAAATAGCTTATTCTGAAGATGTGCTGAATGTGTTAAAAAGCAGAGATATTGACATGATTAGAGAAGAAAGTGAAAGAGAAATGAGGTTTTATTTTTTCTTCAAACTACTATAATTAATCTCTTTTTAACTAACCTTGAATGTGGAAGTTTTTTAACAAACAAGGAATTATTTTTCATTAAACTTATTTTCATAAAAAGATATAAAACTTTTTTTTCATGCTTTATAATTGTAATATTTATACAATGAATATTTATGTATTTTTTTTTATGCAGATTTATTTAAAATTTATAATGTTTTTTCCTCCTGATTTAATATTGTCTTCATATTTCTTGAATTAATATTTTATTTTTGTTTTCCCACAAGTTTACTTTCTGTTTTTTGAGTTTGTGTAGGCTGAAGCTTTATGCTAAGTTAAGAATTGAAATAGATTATTGGTTTAAGAAGTAAAATAATTTTGAAATACTTTAATTATCTTTTTATTTATCAATAGTTTTTGTCTAATAATATATTCTTATTAGTTTATAGCATAAATTAGTTTTTTGTGTAATGATGTATTACTCATTATTCTATTTCATGTAAAAAATCTTCATTTTACTTGTCATTGAAATTTCAATTCATATTAAAGTTGAGGCATTTTTGTATTTTGAAGTCATCAAAGACTGTCTTTAATAAGTAAAGCGAGCACAATAGTATTTATTTTACAATAGTATTTATATCTTACAAAATCTTGGACATCTTTTCCAGTGTTTGGAATTTTTGCAAACATTTACAGGAATTCGTTTTCGGCATATTAAGGAGTCAAAAAACAACATTTAATTCGGAATAAAAAGTAGCTGCATCGCCATAAAAAACTTAAGAAAAATCCTCTATATTCTATTAAGCTGTCTAATTTTATTTAAACTTCACACTTGTGATGATAAGGTTAACCAGTTTTAATACCACTGCTAGTATTTTCAATTTTTTTTCCATGCACTATTGCAGCTAAAAAGAGCAGTCGATTTATAACGAAATAGATTTAAAAATTTCATCCAACTACTATTAATTATTAAAAAATTTTGTAACATTTATAGTTTTGTAATAATCTTCTATAATCCCACTTCTTATAGAGCAAACATATTTTATTAACTAAATTAATTCAATGCAAGCTGCTAAAATAAAATAAAAAAGATATTGAAGGATATATTCTATCAAAAGCAAGGTAGAAAATGAAAAAATACAATGTGAAAATACAATATAAATAAACTAAGAAAGATAGAAACAAACAGTCCCCTAATCTTCGCCTACTACATTTTAGCATTAAAATTTAAAAAAAAAAGGCTTATTATTGATGAATAATTCTATTGAATTATTTATGGTTAAGTTGTGTTCTTATTCATTTACATTTACTTATGAGGTTTCAAAAGTATAAATATGAATTATCAAATGAATTATATGGAATAATCAGGTTTATGATATTTTAGGAAACGAAGAACATTCTGAAAGTTCATAGTAAATTAAAAGAATTAAACAAGTAGTAAATAAAATTGAAATTCCAAAAAGTTATAAATTAACTTACCTATAAAATGTATAAGGTCTTCCTTTCAAATGCTGCCTAGTAAACCATCATATTTTAAGCTTTTTGATTTCAAAATATCTGTATCAATTTTCTTTCATGGAAATAACAACGAAAAGTGGAGGGTCGAAAATTTATTTATTGGTTTGCTCTCCAGTCACGTTTCATTCTGAGATCAAAAATTATCTGGACAGCATGTTCTACTATCATTTCATTTCTATGGCAGAAAGTTCTTATGGCTTACCACATCAAAATAATAATTAAAAAAAAACTAAATATTGGGGGCATCTCCCTGCTTCCAAATCACAAACATATTCTTAATTATGTAAAATTCTGAAATGGTACTTGGTTTTAATATTTTGTTTTACCTTACTAGAAAAGCAAGTCAAATATTAGATGCTGTTCAGAATGTAATTATGGATTTCAAAGTTTTTACTGCTGGGGAAGAAACTTTGAGAAGCTTATCAGATCTCTTGACTGAATTCATCCATTTGATTGAAAGACGAATTCGTCTGACTTCTGTCAAATCATCAGTGATTGTTTGTGAGGCAAGGGAAATTGAAGATAAAATAAATGTAAGTTTTGTTATCAATCGGTCTTTTTGTTTGGTTTAAAAATATTTTTAGCTAGAATATATGATTTTGGAAATTTGTATAAAGTTGTCTTTAAACACCTACTCTACATGATCCGTCTACAACTTTTTTAAGTTTAGATTTTCCTATGCCTCTGATTTCTTTGTTTATGAAATTTTTTATTCTTAAAGACATGGAATGATTTTTTTTTCTTGTTTAGAAATTGGAGGAGGAGGAGGAAATAAATAGAAAATGTTACAGGATATATAAATTTATTATATACAGGATATTTAATTATATATTACTATTTCCACAAATACTGAGAGAACATGGAAATTCCAAGAAATTTTATTTTGACAAGAAATTGGAAATTTTTATCCAAATCTAGAAAAATATTACCTGGAAATTATTAATTCTTCGAATTTCTGGATAATAATAAGTGAATGTTTGAGTTTCAAAATAAGTTATGCTAATCAAATTAACTTTTAACAACATTTTAAATTGTTTCTTAGATTTACATTAAAATTCCTCTAACTTTATAAGAGGCTATGCTTTTTGAATAATAATAGTTTCTAACTTTCTTAGAAATCAAAAATTAAAAGAATATTTTCTTCTTCGATTTGACTCAAAGTTCAGTTTACTTTTTATTATGATTTTCAACATGGTATTCTTCATGTTAATTTATAGCCATATTTTATCACGTTACTTTTTTTCAATGATCGTATCTCGCATTTAAGTAATTAATAAAAGATAATAATTTTTCGTTGTATTTTTTACATTCTTATAACATAATAACTAAAAAAAGTCGCCCGACTGCTAACACTGTTACAACTTAAAGTACTTGTGTAAAATCTTGTCAACCATTTTTGTTTTATATTGTATCCAGAGCATGTGTGGTGCTAATTGAAAGCTATTCTCTTAAAAAATTTTTGATATTAATGTTTTAGAGCATACAATTAAAAAAAATTGTGGCACGTGTTTATTTGTGAAATTTTTTATTTATAACAAGGTTTCCATTTTTTGGTAATTTTGATTATGGAGAAAATGTTTGGCAGGATTTTAAACAAGTACAGTGCACAAAATAAAAAACAGACTACCCTGAATAACTTTTGATCTAATTATCCAATCGTCTCATTCTAGGACTCAATCTTAGTGGTTTTAAAGGGTGACGTCAAAAATGCTAATTAATTAGTGCAGACAATATTTGAAGTTAGGAAATCAGGCACAAGAAACTTTGTTTCTCTGTATAAACATACCTTTTTTCAACAGATTCGAATTTCTGACCCCCCAAAATACAGGAGGTTGCTTCAACCTGGAAGATATGGTCTCCATAGTTTGGTAAAAAGAGCAGTCGAAACAGTTTAAGAAGCCATATTTTTAAAATTCGATTTCTCAGGAACTATTCCTCTGATTTCGCTCAAATTTTGTACTTTGCCACGTAAAATTACATTCTTTAAAATGATGTAAAAAAATACCTTACAATTCAAAATTTTTCGACCATTTTTTAAATAAATTAATAAAAAATAATAAATATTTACCAAAAGTATTAATTTGCATAGAATTATCTTTGGATAAACAAATTTATAATTCAGTGCAAAAATTTTTGAATTTGCTTAAAAAAGGTCTCGGGATATAGTGAAATGCATAGAAAAGGAAATTAACATTGATGGGTCTAACTTTGGAATGTTCTCTTGATCAAACTATGGGGACCATATTTCTTAGACTGCAGCTACCCACTATATTTTGGGGGTCCGATATTCAAAATGATCAAGAAAAAGGAATGTTCATTCAAAGAAAGTATTTTTTTTGTGTTTGATTGTGCAACTTAAAATATTGCTTGTACTAATTAATTAGCATATTTGAGATTACCCCTTCAAACTTTTTAGATTATTAAATCGTCATGAAACTCTATCATTAGATCAAACGTTGTTCTGGGTAATCTGTTTTTTATGTTGTGCACTGTATCATACACAATTACATATTTCAAGTAATATTTGATTTTTTTTAAAACTAAATAGTTCAAGTTTTTAAAGTTTTTAAATTGTAAGCAAAAACAACTTGATATAAATTTAGTAGTTTGTTGAACATTTACAATGTAAAGTGTATCAAGTGAAAAATAAATGCATTTAAATTTCTTTTTTTTTAATAGCTCAGAATGAATGGTGTGATTTAATTTAGTCAACACACTTATATATTTTTTAAAGCGAATGCTAGTTGAAAACATCAACGTTGATCTTTTTTTAATTGCTTAATTCATGTGGTATGATCTAATTTATAAATATTACTGAAATATTTTTGCAAATGCCAATAATATTTTCCTAACATTTATGTGTTCCTTTTTCGTACTTATGTACCTTAGCATTAATTTGACAAAAAAGGAGATATATTTTAACAATATAACTATTTTATATATTGAGCTGTTTAGTTTCTAATTATATTTTTTCTTTAATATATTTTACTTTGTTTTCTTAAAGTAATATTATGTCTCTTATCTTTAGAATGATATTTCTGAGGGAGAGAAAGCTAAGAATATTGCTAAAGAAAATTTAGAGGTATCTGAGAACTTGTTGGTTGAATCTGAAAATCTTTTAGGAAATGTTTCTGTTATTTTGGAAGTAAGTAAAGTATTTTATTTTATTTTTGAAATCAAAGCAATTGATTATTTATTCAATATCCTTATTTTAAACATTTAATTTTAACTAGCTAAAAAGTTTTAAAAATTCACGCATAAAGTAATTTTTATCAAAAACAAGTGCTTTTTATTAAAGATTATTAATTAAGTAGTTAATTAAGTGTCTTATGTATGGAATAGTATATTGCATAATGACAAGGAGCTTTACTACTAATCTTTTTTATCATAGTTTCTATCATTAAATTTCTTTTAAGCTTCTTGGATTATGTAATTATTGGCATAAGTCTTGTACTTTAAAAAACTCAAAGGAGTATGAAATTTATTTTTATTTTAAAAACTTTTAAAATTCGTTAGTTTCAGTCCTTGCTTTCAGATGAAATTCTTTGCAAAAATTAGCTACCTAGTCATTTCTTGGTTCCAATTAATTTTTAAAATAAATTATTTTAAATGTCTCGAATTGCTTACAAGATGTAATGAAACATTGTTTTCTGAAAATATCCCGAAAGATTTAAAATTTTATCCAAAGGATTCAAAAAAGAGGAAAACAAACCATTTCGACTTCTTATCATCAGTACGTTTAAAAATTATAGTGATTTCTTAACATCAGACTGTTTAAAAATTACAGTTATTTCTTAATAGGATTTCAAAACTTCCAGTTTAAAAGTACCTTTAATTTATTATTTTATTTATAGAAAGCTATGCCATTGCAAGCACTTATGGAAAATGCAACAGAGCAGCTTGAGCATCATAGAGGTATTCTTGCGAGGTTGAATCCAAGATATATTCAAAAGTTTGTTGTGCCAGCAGCAGAGCATGCAGAACATATATCACAGCAAGCATTATATCTATCTAAGTATGTTATGATAAGTCTTATTTGCATAATTATCTTCTGTTTATAAAAGTGATTTTTTTAAAAACTTTTAATTCATATTTAAAAAGGACTAAGTTACAGTTATATATAACCCTTAAGATGGTTATATATTTTTGGTTTTATATAAAATTCATTGTTTGAATATTTTCATAATACAATAATATTTAATTGTATTTCAATTTTCATAAATTAATGCTCGTAATGTATAGAGTGTTATGTAACTACTGCTCTTATCATTTTTTTTAGTATCCCAAATCATTTAGTTAAAAATTGCTGCATTTTTGTATTAGTAATTAGCTGCATTAGTAATTGCTGCATTTTTGAGATTGTAAAATAATATTAAGATGGAGAAAAGAGCAAACAAAAGCATTTTCAAAATATGTAAAAACAATACTGATCTAAGTAAGATAAAGTATAAAAATTCAGTTAAAAAATAAACTTAAAAGAATTAAAAGATTATTATAAATTTCCACCAGGCCTTCAAGCTGGTTTTAATGTGTTTGATAATGCCTTAAATAATTAAGTTCCATGAAATTTTGATAATAGTTTATTTTCCTACCTAAATATAAATTTGTAACCCTTTGTCCCAACATTTTTTTTGAAAATGACTCTAAAATATGTAGATTGAATGGTGATTAAGGAGTCTTTTGTTTAATCTCCTGAGATTTGAGCTTTAAACAATGTCAGAAAATGTCATTTTTTACTTAGAAATATGTAGAAAATAAAGCAATAAATGCAATAAAAATTTGATTTAAAAATTTCAATGATTTTTTTAATTAGTTTTAATAATTAAATAATAAAAAAATGACTATTTTTTCTTGCTAGTGTATTCTTTATATTATAGGATATTTCTATCATGTGCTTCTTAACAATTTAGCTAGGATACAAAATCCCTAGATTCAAATATGATTTTTTATGCCATAAAATTGTTTGATAGGTTTCCAGTATGGTTTCAAATTTCTTCCATTGAGATCCTAGGTTGTACCTCAAACATAGGATTAAAACTAAAACTGCTTTCATAAGAAGTGTAATTCATAACATCTATTATGTTCATAACACTAACTTATCTACCAGCACTGTTTTACTCATTCATTTTGTGACTCTTGAATGAATTATGTCATTATAGAGTTAAAAAAACTATTTGGATCAGAACTCCATTTGATATTTGAGTGCTCTATCTAGTCATAAAGTGTTTGAAATTTTGATTGCAAGATTTTACCTTCATACTCACAAAAATAACGTAAATAAAAAGGCTGTAAAAGTTATTAGATTTTGTTTTAAATGTAGAGAAATCATTGAATTGAAAATTATTGCCTTGATGTTGACTTTGATCAGTTTTGTATGAGGTGAATTATTAATCTAACTATTAACGCAATGAATTTTTTTATTTATGCTTGCAACTTTTTTTAAACAAAATGTTGAAATATGTAATTACGAATTTTTAATATATTTCATGTATTATTATCTTAATTATCTGCATGTTTTATTGAATGGTTTATTTATCTTTTAATTATTTCTGACTACGACTATTTTAAATGAATTTCACTTATGATGTTTGAGGTTTCACGTCTTTTCCTTTGCATTTGTTTAGCCTTTTTAAATCTGCACAAGTAGCATCTAAGTTTCCATTAATGGCTGCTAAAGTTTATGAAGACATTATAGACAATATTGAAAGTGCTGTCATAGCTGCTAGAAAGACTCTTAGTGATGCTCAAAGAACATATAATGAGGTAAATTTCACGGATTTTATTTTCTTGCTTTAATTGTCCTTTTTCTTATCTTTATTATAAAATTCTTAGCTCATTTTAGTGGTGATATAATTAGTATTATTATACTGATGTTTAAAACTTACAAAATAAGGGGCTAAAAAGTAGATATAATTTATGGGCCTCTTTTCAAACTTGTAATTTCAACATTAATATTTGTTTTCCGTCTTATTTTCAAGTATTAATGGCTGCGGTAAAAGAGTAGGGAATAACTGGATTACGCATCTTCCTACTTTATATATTTTTCTTCGTTTACCTCAAGAAAGATGCATTTAATTATGCCTCAATGTAAACAATAACAAGCTTCCTAAAACCAAAAACCGCAAGAAAGTCAGAAAAATTTCTGTGAATCCCTTTGCTTATGCTATGGTTACGAGGCTATGTGTTTACAGGCTTACTGTTCTAGGAAGTTTATTGTTGTGATTTGTGCTTAAATTTAGGCATTAATTTTAACATTCACGAGAGTTGTCTGTAATTTATAAATTCTAACAGGTCATGAGCCTAAAATAAATTTAAGAAAATTAATGTAAAAAAATTAATGTAAATATGCAACATATAAAGTGTAAGGTTTGCCGTGTGTTGAGTGTTATTCCTTACTTGGCTATATCTGTGTTAAATATTGCTGCATGTTATTTTTTGAATAGCGTCATAACATGCTTGTGGAGTCTACTGAGTTCATTTGTTACTTGTTTCATTAAAGTTTAAATAGAAAGAACGTGTTATATTGTTAACACAACAAGTATCATAATATTGGATGGTGTGCTTTTTCAAGCTTAGGCATACAAATCAAGCGAACATAGTAACTCATAAGCCTCATGAGAAATTTTAACCCCTATCTCCGCCTGTGCTTAGCTTTACACAATCAACCAGAATTTTTATTTTTATTCTTGTTTTAATAAATTATTAATATTATATATTTTTTGAAAATTTTTTCTTTACTTTGCATATTTAGGCAGATCCAAACTTTAAGAACTCAATATCAAGTCAAGCTACTATTCTGCACAAAAGAAGTGGTAAACTAACAAATCAGGCTTCAATGAGAATGATTGAAGTTAAAAGTAAGATTATTTATTTTTAAGGCATTTAATGACTTTTTATAGACATAAATTGATTGATGATATTTTTCTTGTATGTAGATTTAACTGATGACATAAAAAAATTCAAAGCAAGAATAAAGAAAATCAGTGATGATATTATGCATATTGTTACATCATTAGCTGAGTTTAAAGATGATATTGATGTTTTACCCAGAGGTAAATAATGTTTTTTTATAATTTATTTGCATTTTTTTGCTAAGTGATATATTAGAGATGGCACATATTATTCTGACTGAAATCATCACCTCTCATTTAATGTTATCCTCATAACTTGTAGATTGATAAGAGGTTATTTATTGATAAGAGGTTATAAGATTAACTATACATAGTTTTCTAAGGAGTGTTTTATTTTATTTTAAAATTATTTATATATATTTTTCTTTTTTATTATTTTGTATTTATATAGGAAAAACTTTAATTCTGATTTCTTTATACCTGAAAAACATAGAGAAATTAATGTTTTTTTCTCTGTCCATTTAATTACAACTGTGAAAAATGCATATAAATTAAGCTTAAAGGTCTCCAACATGCAGAAAAGTCCTTCCCATGATAATCTGTAAAGAATTATATTAACACTAATACACTATTTTTTATTAAGTAACTAATTAATATTATTGACTATTTTTTGTTCAGTAAAATGCTTTTTTTATAACTAGTAAAAAAATAAAATTTTAAATTTGTAAGTATTTTTAAAATGTAAACTTCGAAAAACTTGAAAATCTCTCTCAAAATGTTTTAAAGATACTTACATCCTTGAAATTTAAAATATAGTTACTAGTTTAAAAAAAACAACATTTCCATGAATGAAGGGAAAGGAAAATATTCAAAAATATTAATTAGTTACTTCCGAAATAAAGAAATTGCTTTCATGTGATTCTCAATTGGTTTGCATGGAAGAGATAGAATTCTTTTCCCGTCTGACGAATATAGTTTTAAGTTTCATTTTCAATATGTTTTAAAGTATTGATTGTAATGATTTTTTTTCCTTTTCAGATATAGCTGATCAATTGCGCACTGCTGAAGATAGACATCGAAATATTAGTGATAAAATGGTATTATTGCATGGAAAAATAGATATGTTGCAAGAAATGCTAAATGTTGAGCTTTATGACAGATTAAATTATCTTCGTGTGGGTTCAACGGCAGGATTATTTAATATCACTAAAACAAGTAAGTGTTAAATAATAATTTGCGCATTGTTTACCCTTTCTTAAGAATATTAATTTATTTGTCAATTGCATAGCTAGTTGATAACTTTTATTTATTTAGATAGCTTAGAAAAGAATAAATGTATACAAGTCTAAAATAATTTATTTTTCATAAAGATAACATGTTGCGTAGCTTTTTTAAAAAGTGCTTAAGGGTGCTTATTTTCGTTTTTAAAAGCCCTTAAAGGTGCTTTTTTCATGGGGTGTTTTTAAAAAGTGCTTTATTTTATTTTTCGAAACTGAGATTTTCTTCATCATCATGTTGATTTTTACTGCGTATTATGCAAAAGCGTGGTTTTCACATTGTTGTATTCAAAGTTTTCACAATTCATTTAACTACAATCAGCGTACCGTCGGTCCGTAACGTATGTTAGCACCAATCATGTTACATATTAAATGAAATACTTGGGAGTCCACATGTGTTTCTACTTCGCTAGGTTTGATGAGATTCTTGCACTCTCATGTGCAACTGTGCTGCATTTTGTAAGATATTCTCAATTTCAGGTTTCATTTTCCACCCTCTCATATCGAACCAAAAAATCTCTTAATCTTTTTATGGTGGAATCAAGAAAATAAATAATCCAGAAAAAGATTTGTCAGAAACTAGTTCTTTTATCATGATTATGTAAAGTTTTAAAAAAAACTATTTTGGATTTTGTTAATGTATATTCTGCTAAAAAGTACTTAAAAAGTGCTTATTTTTTGTTGAACGATTTGGCTACGCACCCTGGATAAGTTGAGTAAATTACGATAATTTATTATTTCAAGCAAATGAATTTATTTAAGATTAACAACTAGATTAGTTAAAGATAAGTATTATTCATTTAAAATTAGATTAATTTGAAAGAGTTATTCACCAACAGTATTTTAATAATTCACCAACAGTATTTTAATAATTCACCAACAGTATAATTCACCAACAGTAATTCATAAGTATAATTCATAACAGTATCACCATTGAACAGTATTTTGAGAATTTCTCTATAAAAATGTAGTTTTTCAACTTTTTTTAAATATATTTCGATTTCATTTCGAAGAATAATATTTCAAATTTTAATTCTGATGTTTCGTATAAAATAACATTAAATCTTTCTAAATTAAAACAAAAGACTCACAAAAATGTCTTAGTTATGATCATTTGAAAACTAATTTAAAATATATTTAATGAATGCTTTTTTTAGTTTAATTAATAGTAAATCTATTGTTTTAGTTATTTTTATTGTCTTATTACTTTAAGTTTTTCCAGTTTCATTACTCCCTAGATTAAATGCTTAGGAATGAAAGAAACCTAGACATAACTTATTTGATTCAATATATGAATCAGAATGAATTATATCTGTTTCTTTTTTAATTTTCATGTTTTTCACCTGAAGATGATTTTAGATTCCTAGTTTTAACAATTTATCAAGCAATTAGCTTTTTTTGGTTTTGACACGTTTCTGTAATTTAATTTCAGTTGATATTGGAAAAGAAATAACAAAGGCTGCAATTAAAAAAGCAGGTACGGCAGAAAGCAGAGTAGATCGAGTGAAATCATTGAACAACCAAATGCAAAGCAGCGTTAGAAATTTAAAAAACAAAATCCTTCTTGCAAGACAAAAAGCTTCCAATGTAAGTACTATTTTCACACACGCATAAAACAATTTACAATTTAATTGTTTCAAAAATATCTAATTTGGAGATTTTCAGACTTAAAAATAATACTTGTAATATTAAAATAATAAAATAATAAATGATAAAATAATAAATAATACATGAAACCTAAGCTCTGTTTAATTTCTTAATACTTGTTTTAATACTTGAAGCCCAAACTCTGTCTAATTTTATACAAAATTGTCACTTCAATGCTTTATACAGGGATGAGATTTTTCCGCTTTTTAGCTGATTTCCGCTTTTTTCACTTTTATCTCTTGAATTTCAGCTTTTTTATCAAAAATTCAGATTTTTCTAAAAATTTCACTTTTTTTTATAAGTATTCCGCTTTTTCAGAAAACTCACCCATTTTCAAAGAGAAACACAAAATTCAAACTACATAGCTACCAATCCTTTCTCATTTTTACTTATTTTAGCTATTTTCTCCCCTTTTACTCGCAGCAGATAAGATTTTCCGAATTTTTTACCCGCCCTCCAGATAGATCCGATTTTTGTAGTTCAAACGACGCTGTTTCTGACAAGCCTTTTAGAGGTCCCAAGCNATTAAATTATCTTCGTGTGGGTTCGACGGCAGGATTATTTAATATCACTAAAACAAGTAAGTGTTAAATATTAATTTGTGCATTGTTTACCCTTTCTTAAGAATATTCATTTATTTGTCAATTGCATTGCCAGTTGATAACTATTATTTATTTAGATAGCTTAGAAAAGAATAAATGAAAGAATATTTCATAACGATAACATGGTGCGTAGCGTTTTTAAAAAGTGCTTAAGGGTGCTTATTTTCGATTTTAGTTTTTTAAAAGCCCTTAAAGATGCTTTTTCATGGGCTTTATTTTATTTTTCGAAAATTAGATTTTTTTTTCATCATGTCGATTTTTGTTGCGTTTTATGCAAAAGCGTGGTTTTCACATTGTTGTATTCAACGTTTTCACAATTCATTCAACCACAATCAGCGTACCGTCGTTCCGTAATGTATGATATCGCTAATCATGTTACATATTTGATGAAATACTTGGGAGTCCGCATGTGTGTCTACTGCATTGGGTTTGATGAGATTCTTGCACTCTCATGTGCAATTCTGCTGCATTTTGTAAGATATTCTCAATTTCAGGCTTCATTTTTTACCCTCTCATATCGAAACGAAAAATCTCTTCATCTTTTTATGGTGGAATCAAGAAAATAATTAATCAAGAAAAAGATTTGTCAGAAACTAGTTATTTTATCATAATTATGTAAAGTTTTGAAAAATTATTTTGCATTTTGTTAATGTATATGGTGCTTAAAAAGTGCTTATTTTTTGTTGAACGATTTGGCTATGCACCCTGGATAAGTTGAGTAAATTGCGATAATTTATTATTTCAAGCAAATGAATTTATTTAAGGTGAACAACTAGATTAGTTAAAGATAAGTATTATTCATTTAAAATTATGTGCAGAATTTTTATACATTTGTTAGATTAATTTAAAAGTGTTATTTAATAATTCACCAACAAAAATTTAACAAAAATCTAATAAGCATTGAACAGTATTTTGAGAATTTCTCTATAAAAATGTTTTTCAACTTTTTTAAATATATTTTGATTTCATTTCGAAGAATAATGTTTCAATTTTAATTCTGATGTTTTGTATGAAATAACATTAAATCTTCCAAACTTAAAACTAAGGACTCACAAAAAATGTCTTAGTTATGATCATTTGAAAACTAATTTAAAATATAGTTAATGAATGCTTTTTTTAGTTTAATTAATAGTAAACTTATTGTTTTAGTTATTTCTTATTATCTTGTTACTTTAATTTTCCCCCAGTTTTATTACTCAATATGTTAAATGCTTAGGAATGAAAGAAACAGAAATATAATTTATTTCATTCAGTATATGAATCAGAATAAATTATATTTTTGTTTCTTTTTTAATTTTCATATTTCCACCCTGTGTAATATGATTTTAGATTCATAGTTTGAACAATTTATCAAACAATTTGCTTCTTTTTATTTGTGACACTTATCTCTAAATTAATTTCAGTTGATATTGGAAAAGAAATAACAAAGGCTGCAATAAAAAAAGCAGGTACGGCAGAAAGCAGAGTAGATCGAGTGAAATCATTGAACAACCAAATGCAAAGCAGTGTTAGAAATTTAAAAAACAAAATCCTTCTTGCAAGACAAAAAGCTTCCAATGTAAGTGTTATTTTCTCACACACATTAAACAATTTATGATTTAATTGTTAGAAAAATATCTATTCTAGAGATTTTCAGAGACTAAAAAATAATACTGGTTTTAATACATGAAACATAAGCTCTGTCTAATTTCTTAATACTTGTTTTAATACTTAATTTTATACAGAATTGTCACTTCAAAGCTTTATGTATCTATTCAATTATAAAGAAAAAAGAGAAATTCTGTTTTGAAATATCAGAGTGTTCATTTTAGAAATTTTTTTGAAGAGTATCAATTTGGAAATCTCAGAGGGTTAATTAAGAAAGGGGCATAGAATTTTTTTTCCATTAATATTTATCACTAGTTTTGAACAGCAGATTACTAATTTTAAACTTGCATTTATATAATAGTTAAACTACTTAGCCTTGTAGTTGTCAAGAAAAATTTGTAAGACTTTCCTCCTATATTTTTTTAATCACTCATTGTACTTATAACTTTTCTCTTTTCTATTTTTTTACTAATTTCTTATTACAGTAGAACCTTGATTGAATGTTTCTAATGTGACTATTCATTGCGAACGATAGATACGGGAAAACAATGAACACACATCAACATAAAATGTATGAACAATAATAAAAATGTAACAGACTGAAACTTAATAAGTTCACTATAAGTATAAAAGGTTTTAATTAAATGAAAAATATGTATATAATAAACATATTTACTTATTTAAAATATTTGAAAATTTTGATTTGAATACGCTCTTTTCTCACTGCCTCACTTCTTGTGGTTCAGTCTTTTTTGTCTTTATTGCTATCACTTAATATTTCTTCAGCTTTTAAAAACGTTTCTTAAATCAACAACAATACCACAAGTTTGAACATTTTCATCAACTAATTCAAAAACATCAATCATGTTGTTGATGTTGAACTTTAACCTTCAACATCAATCATGTTGTTGAAGGCGTTTTACCTAAATTTTAACAAATCCTTATTATTTTCTTTATTATTAGCATCAGGTGTTACTATTTTTCTTCTCAAAGTGAAATAACTTTCATATTTTTAAATGTTGGTAGAATTTTTGAATGATAGACTCAAAGATCTGCTAGTTTCAGAAACCATTTAAATGGGTATCATTAACAATCTAAGAATAGTATTTATGATGTGACCGTTAAAACAAGATGATACATCTAGAAAAGCGAAAAATGCAGGATCGAAGATGGACCGAGAAAGATGTAAAATGTTGTAAGAAAACTTTTCTTTATTTTTTGCATATTTTTTTTCAGATCCGTGTTTCTCTGAGTGCTGATTCTACTGGAATTTGTGTTAGATCATATAGACCAGATATCGAACCAACCTCTACTTCTTCCATTGTCCTTCATTATGCTATTAAAACTGATGATAAAGATAGTTTATTATTATTCTTGGCTAGTTCTGTCTCAGTAAGTCTTTTTTTAAAAATGCTTTATGCTTTTTCTAAGCAATGTTTAGTCTTTTCAGTGTTATTCAGCCAAAAAAAAAACTATTACAGGCATGAGTATGCAAATAAAGATGGAGCCAATCAAAGTACAGCGCTGCGAGCGGCAACGCATATATAAGACAACGAGTGTCTAGCACAGTTCTTAGATCGGTTACAGCTGTTACAATGCCAGGTTATACAGATTTGAGCTTGAACGTGGTGTTATAGTCGGGGCACGGGAGATGGGACATAGCATCTCTGAGATAGCAATGAAATTTGGATTTTCACGTACGACCATTTCACGAGTATACCGAGAGTATCGGAAACCCGGTAAAACATCAAATCTACAACATCGCTGCGGTTGGGAAAAGATCATGCAAGAACGGGACCAACGACGATTGACGAGAATCATTAAACGTGACAGACGTGCAACCCTTCCACAAATTGCAGCAGATTTCAATGCTGGGCCATTCAACGAAAATGCATCGATATGGGCTTTCGGAGCTGAAGGCCCATACATGTACCCTTGTTGACTTCACGACACAAAGCTTTACGCCTTGCCTGGGCTCGTCAACACTGACACTGGACTGTTGATGGTTGGAAACACGTTGCCTGGTCTGAAGAATCTCGTTTCCAGTTGTTTCGAGCTGATGGACATGTACGGGTATGGAGACAACCTCATGAATCCATGGACCCTACATGCCAACAGGGGACTATTCAAGCTGGTAGAGGCTCTGTGATGGTACGAAGTGTGTGCAATTGGCGTGATATAGGACCCCTGATACGTCTAGATAAGAATCTGACAGGTGACGGGTACGTAAGAATCTTGTTTGATCATCTGTACCCATTCATTTCCATTGTGCATTCCAACGGACTTGGGCAATTTCAGCAGGATAATACGACACCCCACACGTCCAGAATTGCTACAGAGTGGATCCAAGAGCACTCTTCTGAATTCGCTGGCCACCAAAATCCCCAGACATGAACATTATTGAACATATTTGGGATGCCCTGCAATGTGATGTTCAGAAGATATCCCCAACCCCTCTTACTCCCATTGGTTTATGGACAGCCCTGCAGGATTCATGGTGTCAATTATCTCCAGCACTACTTCACACATTGATCGAATCCATGCCATGTCGTGTTGTGGCACTTCTGCGTGCTTGCGGGGGACCTACCTTTAGGCAGGTATACCAGTTGTTTTGGCTCTTCATTGCATGTAGTTGCAAATGAAATGAAAATTTTTTTTCCTTCATGCAAACAAAAGTAAATTTAAAAGAAAAATGTCCATTCGTACTTTCATAATTCTGAGATTTGTTATTTTAATTAATTTTTTTCAACTATTCTATCCAGATTTTTGTGCTCCTTAAGTTACATAGAAACATTTAAACGTAATAAGGACCAAGATCAATTTTGTGATTTGCTATTTTAGAAATTTCTATTCATTAACTACTACTAATTTTTTTGATTTTTAATTGTCATAAAATATATCTAAGCACTTATTTTAAAAGAAATGTACAAAACTTTCTGTTTTAGTATTTTCATGTAACATTTTTTTACTATTTTGAGCTACATAGTTTTAGTGATTGCTTAAAATTACTACTTTATATTAAAATTGCTTAAAATTACCACCAATACCAATACCAAATTACCAATAATTATGTGTGCTATTATAGCTGCTAACATAGATTCTAAATATTAATTAGAAACTTCTTTGTTTACTTGACTTTTTTTAAACGCTTTACTCAAATCTTATTCTAAACACAAGATATGTTGTATCAATATTTGGCTTTCAGATAAGTATATCATATCACAATTTGCATGAAATAATTGTACCATTTATGATCTTTATGTTTAGATTTTTCATTTAGTTTTATGTAGAAAACTTGATTGAAATTGTTATTTTATTTTGTATAATGCTTAAACAATTCATTTTTATAATTAGGATGACTTTATGATTGTTGAAATGGTGAATCGTAAGATTCGGTTTATTTGGAATGCTGGTGGGGGTACTCAGGTTATTCAACACAAGTTAACAATTGAAACTAATGATGCTCAGCTGCTAAAAGATGAACGGTGGTACAAGATATCCATTAATAGGTTTGTTGATTTATTTTTATAAGTGTTCTTTAATAATTTCAATTCATTTGACAAATTTATTATGTTATGAATAACAGCCTAAAGAGGTTTTATCTATGTTCAACTCCCTGGCGGTCATACATATTAAAAGTTGCATTTAACTCTTGTAACATTAGTCCCATCCTTTTCTGAACTTCCTGGTTCAGTCTTTCCTGCATTAAAAAACTGATTTTCTTGTGATATAATGAGGATGTACTTTATAGTAGGGAGCCCTCTGAGCAGTTCTGATCCCCCTGTCTTTTCTGAACATTCAGCTGCAGTAATTCCTGTATCAAAATAACAGGTTTTTTCCATGCTGTTCAATGCAAAAATAGTGCATATCAGGAAGCCGCCTGAGTGTTAGTTCCATCTTTTAATGAGAATTTAAACGAAGTTTTCCCTTCATTAAATAACTGGTTTTTCCCATGTTATTCAATAGGATTGTATTTTGTAGCAGGAAGCTTTCTGAGCATTAGTCTCAGTCTTTTCTGATCTTTCAGATGCAGTAATTCCTATATAAAACCAACCAGGCTTTTTTTCACACTGTTCAATGCGAAAATTGTGCATATCAGGAAGCCCTCTGAGTGTTAGTTCCATCTTTTACTGAGCATTCAGATGCAGTTTTCCCTGCATCAAATAATTGCTTTTTTCCCTTGTCATTTAATAGGAATGTATTTTGTAGCAGGATGCTTTCTGAGCATTAGTCCCAGTCTTTTCTGAACTTTCAGATATAGTTCTCCCTGCTGCTCTAAACCAGTTTTATTCATCTTATTCAATGGAAATGTTGTGCAAAACAGAGGAATTTAAACACAATTTATTCTCAGGCTCAATGGTTGGAAAGTTAGAGCTACATTCTTCTTCACATAGCAAAATCTGCCTTTTTCTGTTATTATATGAAAAGTTTATAGAGGGGAATTTACTCCTGAATTTGACCTTTTGTGTAGCAGTCAGATTAACTTTACTTAGATAATAATTAAAGAATAGACAGTTTTGAAAATTATATGAATTTTGTTTATTTATAAAAAGGTGCATGCTAGCTATCGAGTTTAGTTGAAAGAAAATCAAGAAAGAAAGCCAATTGTAGTAATGTTTTGTCCAAATCTAGTTTACACACATATCTTTTAAAAGAAATTTTGTCATTGTAAAAATATTGATTTAATGAAACTTTTAAACAATATTAATAGAAACCATTAATTTGCATTTAAGCAAATGCTGCTGTTATATATAAGATAAATTTTTTTTTTAAAAGTTATGCATGAATATTTTTGTCAACTATTTTAATGAATTGTATTTTAAATGTTTTATTAAAAAAGTTTGTTGAAGATACTTAAAAGGTGATTTGAAAATAAACATAGCTATCTCAGAAATCAACTGTGATTTATAGTGTTCATAATTCCACACACAAAAGTTATAATTTTCAGCATCCTTTCAAATTTAAATTAATAAATTCTCTTACTTTTCGTTGGCAAGGGGTGGGTTTTGAGCTATGATTGTATGCTATCAAAAAATAATGAAAAATCATAATTTTTAAATTTTTTTTTAAAAAAAGAGTATTTAGAGTTTTTTCTTTTCCTTATTTCTTAAGTCTTTATATTGAACAGACAACACTGTTTGTATATTGTTTGTTTATTACAAAAGTTGAACAATAAAATATAAAAATATTAATTGGCATAATTTCATTTCAATTGACATTGAAGCATTATTATAACCTAGTTAATCAATGACAATTATTTTGATTTATGTTGCATGAAAATAAAAACTATCCACTTAAAGTTTTAAAAAAAAGTTTTATAAAGTATCAGTTTTAGCAATCACATTTTGGCTAGCAAGTGTCAGATAGAAGTTAAAAATTAATAAGGAATGTGTTTTTGTGGTAAAAGTAGGGGTTGATTACATAATAATAATTTTATACTAAATCAACGTGTGCTGTGAGTTAATTGTTAACTGAATCTAATTTACAGGTTTGGAAACATTGCAACTCTCAGTGTTAAACCCACGCTATATATTAACAAAGAAGATCCACTTATGGTCACTGATTCTTCTCCACCAGGATTTTCAAAAATGGATTTGGATTCATCCTCTTTCTTTTATATTGGTGGGACACCTAAAGGCTTCAGAGTAAGCTTGCATAGAAAAATATGTATTTGGAATACCTAAAAGAATGCATTTTTCTTTTAACAAAATTTCTTAGATAAAGCACGAAAAGTTATTAAAATTGATTATTTGTTTGAGCAAAATTGATTACTAAGGAGTCAGAATTAAGTTCTAATGGAAGTAATCAATCTAAATGTACAAATATATAGAAAATAACTAAAAATATTCGAAAAGTTTTGACAAAAGATATGTGTATTTTGTTAAGATGTAAATGTATGATTTGTTGAGAAGAAAAATAACTTTTAAAAATGTGTGCTAAATATTAAATAACAGCATAGATTTTTTTTTTAGTTTTTGTTAAAGAAATAAAAATCTTTTACATAACTTTTAAGAAAGTTTTTTTAATAAACTGTAAAGTAGTAAAAATTATGTATTTAAAAATTATTAATAATTAAAACAGCATTGTGTGTTTATGATTTATGGAGTTTTCAATTTAAGGCATGAATCAAACTTGTTTTGTGTATCATTGGAATTTCATATAGGTAGAGTATAAGTTCAATTTTTGTAGATGATGCAACTGGAATATTTATTACCGTAAATTAATCAATTTTACATTACTTACTTTTTGTATATTCAGTGTTTTCATCATTGAAAAAAATGGGTGAGGATTTCTCACCCTATCTCAAAAACAGGGTGAGATTTCAAAAAGATAAGTTAGATTTCTAAAAACTAAAAAAACACAAGAACTAATGAAAAAAAAATAATTTCCTTAATTACAATACATTTTTAACTTCTTCTATTTTTTAAAGCATTGAATATTTTTGGTGCATCATCATAGAAGATTTTGCCTTTACAAGGTATTTGTCCATCTTACATTAGTGCATAAAAAATTTGAACGTCTTACATGAAGAAACCTTACCTATGGTAAACAAGTGGTTGCAGAGAAATGTGTTCTGAAAGGGGTTCCGTGGTTGTGTTATTTTTTTCGAAAAGGTTCTGAACAAAACTGGATAGGGAACGTAGGAAACAGGGCAGATGTTGAAAATAATGAAAGCTCTAGGAAGAAAAGTGAAACGGATTTTATTCTAAATGGTGTAATGTGAAGCTGTTTCCAAAATGCGAGAAATTTGCGAATTTTGAAATTGATTTATAGAATGTTCGAATTTCTCGCGGTAATAATTTTTTCATGCGAGAAAAGAAAAAAATATACGAGATTCTCGCTTTCTTGCTCTGCAGTGAAAACACTGTATTATAAGTATATGTGTAAAAAGAAGTATTATTTTAAAGCAATTCTTTTGTAAATATAAATTCTTTATTTATCCTTTAAACTTTATTACTTTAAGTAATTATTTTTTTAAAAGGAAACACAGTAATGTGTCAGTTAAATTTTTAATTTTTGGCCCTCAGTTTAATTTTTATTTTTTATGTATAAACTTTTAATTTTTAGTTTAACTTTTGTCCAAATTTCAATTATTCTTAATCTCTTTCTTAGCACTGATAAATCAATCATCTGTCTTCTAAATTTTCAGTAATTAAAAAAATATTTTTAATTCCTTGCTATAAAAGTTATATGTTTTGCAGCATCTTACATTTATGGAATGATCCATAAAAGTTTAAAGAGCAGTCGTTACATTTAATCCGCTATGCATTAGTCCCACCTTTTTCCACACTTTAAGCTCAAGCTTAATGCTTGGAAGGCTAAAGAGTCTATTTACTAGATAAATGAAATTATTGCCAGTTACAATATCTATATATATATATTGAAGTAATAGGCATCCTTACTTTTTGAGAAATTATTTTTGGGAATTAATTTGCTAGTTATGAGAAGAAAGTATTGCTTACTTGTTTTATTTTTGGTTTTTAAGATTATTAATTATAATTTTAATAAAATATTATTCCAGGTACCTCGTGAATTAAAAGCAAGAAACTTTGCTGGTTGTTTGTATGAACTAGTATTGGATGGTAAAAAAGTTGGGTTATGGAATTTTGTTACAAACCAAGGTTGTGATGGTTGCAAGGAAGGGTATGTATGTTAAGTATTAAATTTATTGTAACTCGATGTTTAATTGCTTTTTAAGTTTTATTTTAAAGTTAAACGTGCAGGCTTTAATTTTATATATTGGTTCTATAAATTGGTATTGAAATTGAAAACATCTGGGTAAACAGAATTTCATGATGAACAAGAATGTAATTTAAACTTTAAAATACACATTACTGCTGAACAATTAAACATATTGTTGTTCCCGTCAAGATTTTACATGGTTTGGAAAAATTCAAGTTTCACAACCTTTCGGTTCCATAGTGTTTTTCTTCTAAATATTCTTTTTATTTTTGATTTCATTACGTTGAGTATAGAATGACTATGGAAAGAATTCCCCCCGCCATTTGTCTGAAGCAATGGTGGTGACGATGGTTGCGAGGTCTAACTATTTCAAGTAGCGGTGTTAGGTCGATATTTAAGACAGAAAAGAGAGAAAAAATCGGGGAAGGGAGAAGCTTCCCTCTTTGAAATGCGCTGTTTCTTGTTTCCACAGTAGCAGACAATCTCCGACTTTGTCATGAAGGGAGTTTAATTATTGTTGTTTGAGTTTGAAACTGTTAGACATTTATGAGCATTTGAAGTCTGCATTAGTTCCAAATGACCTGTGGTAGCCTGGTGGTTAGAGAATCTGACTCGGAGGGGCCGGGTTTGGATCCTTAAAGCTGGATCTCCACCGAAGGCAACGGCAACGGAAATCTTGTTGCCAAAGTTGCGCACCGGCGCACAAACACCGTTTCTCCATGCTGCCGTGTTGCCGTTGCTTCCAGTTCAAGAGTTGGAAACGAGTCAACTTTTGTTGCCGTTGCCAACCCTAGTAGCCAATCAGATTCGTTGCTAGTTTTCGCTCCCAAACCTCGTGTTTTGATCTCGCACGTGAAAGAAGCGAAGCGGCAAGTAGGTTAAGATTTATTAAAGAAAAGAATTGTTATTTGGTTAAGAATTATTATGGAAGAACAATTAATCGGCTACGTAAGAAATAGCCCATGGCTATATGATTATAGCCGTGCGGATTTTAGAGACGCAGAAAAAAAGAAGCAAACTTGGATAAAAATAGCTGAAAAGCTTAGCATAGATGGTGAGTAAAATTTTACTATTACTTATTTTGTTTTAATAATAAATTTTGTATAATATTTTTGAATTTACTTCATTAATCAAATCAATGTTATGTAACCTATTAATGGAAAGTATTTTTAATTGATTTCCAAAGATAATTTAATACTAATAATATTTTTGACTGTCATAACAATAGTTAAGTTACTCTTTATAAATATCTAAATATATAGTATTCTGTAAGGAAGTTTATTTATGATGAATGAAAAAAAATTGTTCCACTGCTATATTAGGGCCCTTAATGGATATTTTTTAAGTCAAATAAACAGTATATCCATTGAATATGGATGTTTTCTGTTATATACTTTCATTCATCCACATTCTGCTACAATACATTTTCTCACCTTTTTTTAGAAAAAAAAAATCTTGTTGATGAAATTCACTCTTTTAGTTTTATCACTAGTTCTTAAAAATTATTTATTTGAATAAATTTTTGAGAGAAAAGTTTGTATAGATGTCTTAAAAATGTCATTTGAATACTGTATTTGACATTTTTGTCTTGACAATTTATTTTTAATATTTCAAAGTAACTGAAGCCAAACGGAAGTGGAAATGTCTCAGAGCTTCTTTCGTAAGAAAAAAAAACTAGGGCCTAGTGGCACTGCTGCAAAAAAGAAGGTTGAGTGGATACACATGAAGGCGATGTCATTTTTACATGGCCATGTCAGAGAGAAGCGGGAGTATGAATTTTAATTTTTTTTGAATTTATATATTTATATGCATAAAAAAAGGTATCAGAACTATTATTTAACATGACTTTTTTTAACAGGACTTACAGTAATTATGAACAACCGATTTCTCAACCAGCTGAAATTTCTAGTAAGCAAAAATAAAATATAAATTTTTTACTTATTTCAAAGCCCATTGTTTACTCACAAGATATTAATGTCCAGTTGTTTTATTAGCGAAAAAAACCCTNTAATTGAGAGAAATTTTTTGGTTTATTCAAAAATAAATGAGGTGATATGCAGTTTAATTTTAATGAGACACTGAAGCTAATACACTCTTTTCGTCTCAAAACATGCTAAATATTATGCTTCGACTGATATTAAGTGATTGTTTTATTTGCATTTATATAAAATTTTTAATTTAATGATGAGATATTTTGTTCTAGAGCTGCTGAAGTGGCAGATTTTGCTGCTTATAGTTTTAGAGGAGATGGATATGCAATTCTTCCACAAATCAAGCGTTATAATAAAAGATATTATGTCATTGCTTTACATTTTAAAACTTTTGACGAAGATGCACTGCTCTTCTTTTCCCCAAATAATGAAAGCGTAAGCAGTTTTTTTATTATTATTTATTATTTTTATAGCTTAATGCTGTTATTAAAAAAGTGAATTAAAAATTGAAGGAAAATATTTTTGTACATTAGTCATGGCATGTGCTTATAATTTTATATAGTTTTTCATGTAAAGACATGTTTATTAAATTTATTTTCTCATTTGTGAAGAACAGCTAATTGGTGAAAAAACAGCAGATGTGTCCGTTCTTATTGTTCAACTTTACAACCTTGTAATTTTAAATCTAATTCAGAAGACATTCATTACTTTTAATTGAAAGATTATTTCAGGGAAACTAATTTGATTGTATTTCACTTAAATATAACCTCTCACATTTAACATGATGGCAAAAGCTATCATTTTTATTCTATTAGTATACAGCAATTTATTAGAATGAGTTATTTTTTGTCAAATTTCATGTACTGTTACATATTTTTATATATTAAAAATAATTATTGGTTTTGCTTACTGTCAAATTGCATGTTATAAATAATTAGCTGCATACAATTATAAGATAATTGCATGCATGATGATTTTTTATAAATTTTTTAGATGATATTTTGTATAATTATTCTGTATTATAATAAATGTTTTTAAAGGGAGAATTTGTCTCATTGGAACTTCGTGGTGGATACGTGGTATATCAATTCAGCTTAGGAAGCCAGTTTAGATCTGTTCTGAAAACTACAAAAAAATACAATAATGGCACATGGGTGCGTCTTACAGCTCAGAGAGAAAATTTTCAAGGTACTGTGTTACTCTTAATAAACAACTTCAGTTGAAAATATTTTTTTTTTTGGTTCTATCATTGTGCTTATTTTTTCTTTTTTTTATAATAACTTTTAGGTCAACTTCAAGTTGGCGATGAGTTTTTGGATGGAGCATTACCTAAAAACAGTCCTAAAACTCTGGATCTTCAAAAAAGTTACTTATTTTTTGGTGGAGTCCCTCCAAATTTTACAACTAACACGTAAGCTGCAGTTCCTTTATCACCATGAGTTTAAAATGGTCTAGATAAATATATTGCTTTATTATTAGAAATAATGGTATAATTTTATTATAAATATTGTAAGATAAAGAAACCAGGACCTGTGTTTTCCTTGAAGCCCTGGCGGGAGCTGGAGCTCTAAATTTTCCCATGCTCCAACTGTTTTATTGTACCCTACTGACATTCAAGCGACCTGCTGCATTTTAATAACCATTGATCAATAGCTAAGTTACTGCAGAAAAACTATTCTTGGCATTAAAATACATTTATAAGGATTTAAAATCAAATATGATGGAATATTTGTTTGATTCAATTCTTTTTTCTATATTGAGCATGTAACCCAACTGAGAATTAAATTAAATTTGTATTTTCTGTGTTAGCTAATGATTATGTTATTTTTTTAATGATAATTTTCATTAAAAGAAATTAAAATAAAAATCTGTATCCCAAAAGCACACATAAATATATCTTATAGTTGGAACCTGAGTTTCAGCTTATGATCTGGAGCATTGAATTTTTTTTGGCTCTGGGTCCCTGGTAATATATATGTATTAGCTATGTATTAAAAATTAACTGATAATTTGCCAATGTTAAGATATGACATCACTTTTTCAATTTAATTGGCAGAGCAACTTTAAATTGGCAAACTTATGTGCTAGAAAGCCATTTTAAAGTAATGCTTTTTATTAACTTAATTTTTTGTTTTCTTCTTTTATTATTAGATGGAATGGAATTGGATTTCAAAAATTTTTTGGATGTATGAAGGATTTACAAATTGATTCTACCATATTGGATCTTCTTCAAAATAGTTCCTATGGAGTTGAACGCAGTTGCAAAGACATTGTAACGATTTTATAACTCTCCTGCGTTTGCTTGAACTTCTGTATTTCAATTAATATTCTATACTTATTTTGTTTAGTTAATGTAGTCAATTGCGAATTACTCAAATCAAATGAAAAAAAAAATAAATAAAAATAAATAAAAAGTAAAAACTTGAGCACATAGAAAGTTTTTTTTTACAATCTATAAGTCCTATAAATTTTATTAATAGCTATGACTTTTTTTTTAAATATCACAATCGTAAGAGTAAATTGTGTCTATATGCACATATTCTTTTTATTATAGCGTGCAACAATTTGTTTTGGTAACCACATTTCTTTGCTGTTTATTACACAGTGTATGGTTTCTGAATAGTGGTGTAAACAAAGTTGAATAATTTTTAATTAATGATCACAGTTTGATTTGTTAAAAACAATACAAATCTCTTAAAACTTGCCTCAAAAGTCAAATCTTTCATGAGAATATTACTTTTATTTAAAAAAAAAAACTGAGTTATAAAATGTAAATTGTGAGTGATTGAGAATAATTATTGTGGAATTTAAGGTTCTTTAATCAAGTTATTGGAAATTAACTGTATCTATGTTGTTAGTTTTAGTTTAATATAACTCGTTTTTAGTTCTATTCATCACCTGGTATTTCAATTATTTATTTTTTATATTGTATCACAATGATCGAGTATACAACATTTGCATCATATTACCCCATGTTTGCAATAATACTGATCATGTATGATGCATAAATTCCAATGAAATGATGAGAAGCATACTGATAGGGATTTTACTTTATTATTTATTCAACAATTATTTTAAATCTACTTCACAATGTAACACCAAAAAAGTAATTGTTTACTATATTGTTGTGAATTCAATCTGTCTTCTAGAAGTTTGAAATATTTTGTATTTATGAATATTTTTAAATTTTTTTTCTTATGCAGATATTATCTGAAATTTTTTTATTTACTAAGTTTGAAATTGCATTTAATATCATAAATTTTTGTTGGTGAAAAATGTTGACATAAATTAACTACTTCTTTCTTGCAAAATCTAAGTAACATTTACATTTATCATTTTTGCTTTTTTAATAAAAACCGAACTGTTTTAAAACTTGAATGCATGCATGGATTAGTTGGAAATTAACTTTTTAAAAAAATATTTCCAGCCACAAAAATCTGTTGGATTTCGGGGAAGTGGATTCATTGAAATGCCTGGTATCTCTCTTGGCGAAGAATCTAGTTTCAGTATTTCTTTTCAAACTACTCAAACCTCAGCAGTATTACTCTTGTCTACTTTTGATACTGGGAGGAATTTCGAAAGCAAGAAATCGGTATGACTTAAAATTCAATTTAGTAAACTATTTTAAATAATCTCACTACTTTATTAGCTTTGTATCTTTTTTTTTAAATGTAACTTTGATGAATTAGATGTTTGTTAAACTGTTGTCTTACCCTGTTAGATTTTGTATTAATAAGAAAGAATATCTTACCTTGATACACNACCGGAACATCTGCTCCTGCACCCCAGAGCCCAAGGTCAAGAAAACTGAGATGAGCACAGTAGGCCTTGGCCCTCTATGGGCTGTCGCGCCACTGAGTTTAGTTTAATCAAAAGAAGTGTTCACAAAAAAGTGGGGTTTCATTTAAACTCAACCAAATATTTAAATAGCATTAGTTGTTTCAGTATTACAATTATTTTTGTTGTCTTTTATTTAAAAACAATAATTGTATAGGTTTATTTGCCTACATATTAAGATCGTTACTTTTTATAAATTGGATATTTTTTTAATTTTATTTTTCTCACGACAAAATTAAGACTGTCATATAACCTGGTGTTTAGGTCAGCCCCCTGGTGCTGTGTCCGTGTTGCTGCTAAAAATAGATTTCTGGTATGTCAGATGTATGATTCGACCACTGAAAAAAAAAATATAAAAATTTCTAAAGTAGCAAATGCTGTGTCCGTGTTGCTGCATAGACGGCATACGTTAAATGATACTCGACGCTTGGCAAAATGTGGATTGAAATGTTATTCTAAAATTTTCTAAAAAGTGTAAAATTTCAAAATCTTTGGGAGTGAAGACAATATTTTATGAGAGTCTGCAGGTGTGGATGTATTAGTTAACCTCCACAGTTTTGTAAAATTTTGGGGATTTGAAAAGTAGACTTATAAACCAATATGTACTGTAGCTAATTTTTATTTAAATTGTTAATATGTATTTTTAATTGCTAATTTAATTTTCTATACTTTCCATTAAGTTTTTTGTGTAATAAATCATTTATATATATTTTTTATGCCTTCATTCATGAAGCGAACTAATGGAAAAAGAAGAAAGGTAATTAATTGTGCATAATATTTTGTAACCACATCTAGTTTTCATGATATGTACTATTGTAACTATTAATATACTTTCTTGGAATTATTAAAAGTAGTTGCCTTAAACAAGTTTTCTTTGTAATTCTCATTTAATACATCTAGTTGACTGTTGGTTTATTTGCTTTGCTTCTATACCCTTGACTGTTGGTTTATTTGCTTTGACTTTTATTATAGTAACTTGAACTTTGAGAGGTGGAAGTTCAAATTAACGATGTAACTTTGCTTAAAGCTAAATTTATGGTTTAATTCATTTTATGAAAATTTTTAACTTCATGAGAAATTTTTTTTGCTACTTTTCCTAAATGTAACGTTTGTTTCAAATTTGAATCTTTTCCAAGAGTAATTTTTTACCAATTTGTTTTGTTTCATTTTTTAAGGTCATTGCGCATATCCCTTCTTCCCTCTTATCAGCTAAAGAACAAAAATCACAAACAGCCTCCCCTCTTTAAACGCTTACATAATTTGTTGTTTATATAATTTTTTGTCATGGCCTCTTGTGACATTTGATGGCATAGTTTTAGAAGAAAGAAGCAAGCTATTTTTGACTTTATAGAAGTGGCCTGAACTCATATAAGTTTTTTAGCAGCTATGTATTATTTTTTATCTAATGGATAATATTCTTAACACCTTTATTATTTTGAATTCACTTATATTTATTTTTATTTTTAGCATTACTATTCTGTTGCTCTCATTGATGGATTGATTGAAGCTAGATTTAATGGTGGAAGTGGAGAGACAAAAATTATATCTGATGAATTATATAACGATGGAAGATGGCATTCCATCACAATCATGAAAACACACAGGAAGTATGTTTATTTATAAATTTTTTTTTTTACTGTCTGTATTTTAAAAAGAGAGTTTAATTGTTAAAATTGTTAAAAACTAAATGAATAAATATTTTCTTTCAACTTTTTTATTTTTAATACAATTAGTTTTTTTTTGGCTCAGAAATCTAATAATTTTTCTCTTCACTTAAAATTACCATTTTTGCTTACTATTTCTTTTAAAATTACTCTTCATTTTTGTTAGGATTGTGATGAGAGTTGATGATATTGAAGTAGGATCTGGCAGATTACCAAAAGGCATGAAAGACATTGATGCACCTCCTCAAAGAGGTCTTTATTTTGGTGGTTTTAGACAAGGCATTGATTACAAATCTATGATATCAACAAAAACTCCTTTGTTTGGCACCATTAAAGACCCAATTTTCAATAATAGGTATGCTTTATTAAAATAGTATCTGATAAATTGTTTCATAGGGTATTGTAAGCATTTATTTTATAAAAGAAAGAAAGCTTGTTTTATTTTCAACTGAAGAATTTTCTTATTATAAATCTAACATCTTGTAAAGCATTTCTTGAGATTTATAAACTATATAAAAATATTAATAACTATATTATAATTATATTAACCCACTTGTTCCTATTTCTCTATATTTTCTTATGTGTTATGTTATTTACTTTGAAATATTTTTAATATATATTTCCAAGATTTTTCATTTTGGTGTATAGAGCTCTTTCCTCTTTGTCATAAATTATTATTAGTAGTTTATTCTTTCTTTTTATAATGACAGATTTTTAATGATGTGTAAAATTGGTATTTATATAAAGGTTGTTTAATCTTGTAATGATAGAGTATCTTAGAAAAATTAAAACGTGTACGTTTTCTTTTTAATTTAAATATTGTTCATTTTTTCTTGCTAAACTTCCTATACTAAAATAATCAGCAACTGTATTGTCTGCTTTAATAATAAACTATGATAATATACTAAAATAATAAGTTTTTTTTGTCACCCGCTACCCTCTAGTGATAATAATTGATTTATTCGCCAGTTTTACACAATTCAAAAATTTCAACTGTTGCTGCGTTTTAATTACATGCAGTTGAGCTTCGATGGATCATTCTTGTATCTTTTCTTTTCCCGTCACAAATGCTATTTTTATAATGTTAATAATACCTGTTTAGATCATTTTAAAGCCAGCAGATTTTGTTCAGAAATTCCACTGCCATTTAAAAAAATATGCCATTTCGCTTTAAGATGAAAAAGAGTATCTCTCATTGCTAGGGAAGAAGAAAAACTATGAGGATATGTTACAGTTTAGGAGAAACGCCTGTTTGATGGTTATGCATTAGTTGATGAAAAAGTTGAAACTTGTGGTTAAAGAAATAGTTGTGCAAGGTAAGAAGTGCAATGTGATACCAATGAAGACAGTGAAACGAAACTACTACCAATGTGAGGAACTGAAGCTTAAAATATTTTGTAGAAGGAATGGAAGCCTTTAAAATGGTGCCTTTAAACTTTCTGAATTCATGCAAATTTACAGAAAATGATCTTTACAACCAGGGGTCTGTTTAGAAGAAACCCTTCACAAAATATCTTTTAATAAAAACGGATCCTTCACAAAATATTTTAGCTTAAAAACGGACCCTTCACAAAATAATTTATCTTTTAATCAGACCCTTCACAAATTTGTTTATCTTCATTATTGTTTTGTTAATTGAATAAATCCTTCCCAGGAAGGGGAAAGAAAGACAGATGTAAATAAACAAAATTTTGCCTCCGGCAGACGCTTCTTCCTTTATTCGCCTGAAATGAATATTCTGCGTTCAGCAGTATAGGTTAAATACCAAATATTTGTATGCTGCATCGCTAATTTAGTAGCTGAAATTGCTGTTTATTTTTTAAAATTTAATTTTTTTAATTATAATTTTACAGTGNAAGAAAGACAGATGTAAACAAACTAAATTTTGCCTCCGGCAGACGCTTCTTCCTTTACTCGTCTGAAATGAATATTCTGCGTTCAGCAGTATAGGTTAAATACCAAATATTTGTATGCTGCATCGCTAATTTAGTAGCTGCAATTGCTGTTTATTTTTTAAAATTTAATTTTTTTAATTATAATTTTACAGTGTTGAGTACCAGTGTTCAGTACCAAATTTCTAAATATAATAAATAAATGTATTTATTCATCTTTCTTTTGTGTTATAAATATTTTTACATTAAATACATAAGTTTTTCAATTATAATATTTTCATACATAAATTTTCAATCTATTATTTCTTTGTTAATTTTCATACACTTTCAAGTCATTAGTTGATATTTGATGTCAGCCCGCATTTGTCGTTTTCCCGTATCTACCGTTCACAATGCATGGCTCCTTGAGAAACGATCAATCGATATTCTACTGTATTTTAATTTAACAATGTTAATTTTAAAATAAGTTCTTGTGGCAAAAATTTACCTTGTTTTTATTTATCTTTTTCTTGACGTTTTTGTATCTATTACCAGGCTTCTTCGTTTTGATGAATATTTTGATTTCAATGGAGCTGGCATTGGTCGTACTCAGACAGATTGGTTTGGAATGGAAGCACCTTATGCTGGAATAGTTCGTCCTTTGGAAAGATGTTCAGAAATGGCCTCTTATGTTCTTGAAAACAGAGCTGTTAAGTTTGGTGATGAATTGTCAAGTTATGCTAAAGTACCCATTGGAAGAAAAGACTTTGTGCATGAGTAAGATTCTTCTAAAACCAATTTATTAGTTTTATATTTTTAATTCTTTTTTACACGTTAATAATTTTGAATATTTCACTTACAACCGTGTGCCTCAATGCATGCATTACCCCCTTTAAAACTCCCAATCTATTATTTCTATTGCATTTATAAGGTTTCAAGTAATGCTATTTTTTATGTGACTTGAAGTACCTATTTCTTTGCATATAAGATTTCAAGTAATAATGTTTTTTGTAAGGTTTCAAGTAATAATATTTTTTTAGTAAGGTTTTTAAGTAATAGTATTTTTTTTAAAAGATTTTTTTAAATATTTTTTTTTTTATAAAAAAATGAATAAAAAGTGTTTTAAATCAATATTTAGTTTGAGAATTTTAGTTTGCAAAAATATATTTTTATTTCATGGAATTTCAAGATTGTTTGCATCATTTCTCTTTATTTTATTAAATAAATTCAATGAAACTAATGATTAATATGCTTTATTTTTAGTTTCAATGTGACTTTTGATATCAGAACTTATTTTTCTAATGGACTATTGACACTGGTGAAAAATGGTCGTAGTGTTTCACATTTTTCCTTGATGTTGCTTGGAGGACGAGCTGTTATTAATATGTTTGACAGAAAGGCAAGACGAGCTACAAACCCTGCTCATCTAAATGATGGTAACTGGCATCATGTGAGTAAATTTTGTTTTAAAATTAAATGAGAATAACATGATGCACATTGTTGTCAAATGTCATTTTTCTTGCTTTTTTATAAAAATAAAATGATTTGATTTGATTTAAATTCTACATAACTTGTTGTAGTTACAACCTGGAACAGTAGATAATTATTAAAAATATTTTTTTGCTTTAAATTTTTCATATTCTCTTTTAAAATGGTAATGTAGTGATGTTTGTGTGATGATTAAGCTTTTTATATTTATCATTTATCCCGTTTGTTTAATAATTAAACTTTGTAAGGCCTTACAATAATAAGAACAATGATTTTAATGTTTTTGATGTCTAAGCAGTTTAGTCAATATTTACAAGGCAGAAAACAATGTAATGAGCACAAATGCAAAAGATGAAAAAATATACAGTTTTTTGGATACTATAAGTATCAAATAAACTGTATGTCTTTTATGCCGCAAATAAGGAAAATTTTTACAAGCTAGATATATAGGATGTCTCAAAACTGAGAAATCCATCACTGTAAGGGTAAAGCAAAAGTTGTTGCTGAGGTGCAAAATCTGACAGGATACGAGAAAATGGCTAAATATAAACATTTATTAAATATCTTTGCAAATGTCATGCAAGATTGAAACAATTCACAATGTTACAATGAATGCTTAAAGTTTGCACTAATGAAGCAGTGACATCTGACCAAAGTCTAATAACAGCAGTGCAAAAAAATTCCGGCAACTCTGCAAGTTTTGATGTAAGCCTTGGGGCTTCCTACAGAAAAAATAGCAAATAATTATAAGCCAAAAGAGTATTGGGGCCTGCTAATTGATCTACCATGATCAATCCTATCAAGAGATTCATTGGTAACTCCAAAGTCTGATAAAAGTCTTGGGTCTTCCTACAGAAAAACTGACAAATCCTTATAAATCAGGAGAGTATTGGGGCCTGGTAATTAGTTTGAAATAATCAACCTTATAAATCAGGAGAGTTTTGGGACCTGGTACAAGGTCTAAAATGATCAATCTATCGTCAGCGCCCTTGTGTATAAACTCACGGGTTAGACTGTCATTTCTTATCGTAAATTGCTATATAATTTTCAATTCATGTCACATGTCCCTTAAAGTTTGTTGCTACATGTTTGAACGCTTTGTATTTGTTAGCATTCATTTTTTACTTTTTTATGAAAGTAAATGTTACTGAATAATCTTGTATTTCTAGATTTCCGTAAATAAAACTGGGCGACAAATGGTATTTTCAGTTGATTATAAAAAACGAGGTATCAATTTTAAAGTTCGTCGGCGATTGGCTTTAAGATCTCCATTATATGTGGGAGGAGTGCCTGAAGATATGGAACCAATTCCAAAAGTGGTAATATTTAAAATTTATAATATTGACATATTATTTAACTTGAAAGAAATTTGAAAGTGAAAGTTTGTTTGTGGCAATAATACTTTTGAGTGTTCTTTTTTAACATTTAATTTTCCAAATAATTATTACTAAAAGTTATTTTTATGTTATTTATGTTTTATTATTGTTACAGATTTGTTGGAAACTATTATTACTAAAATTATTTTAAATTTTATTTCTCATTCTCTATTGTTTTTGTAGGTTATGGAGAGTTTCAGGGGTTGCATTCGAAATTTCAATTTAAACGGCTATTATCTAGATATTGCTAGTAGTGAACTGCATAATGTTGGACATTGTTTCTCAACAATTGAACCAGGAGCTTCCTTTTCTGGAGACGCTTATGCTATTTATGGTACATTTAAAACTATATATTTCTACTTATGTTTGTATAGATATACTTGTGTTACAATTGAAGAACTATTGAGTAATCGGTAAAAGATTGACAGTAGATTTCCTGACACAAGATTGGACAGTGAATTTCTTAACTTAAAATACCGTTTGCACTATTTAATTAATCATATTTGAAGTCACCCCCTCGAGATATTAAGATTGAGTCCTAGAACATGAAGATCCGATCATTAGATCAAAAGTTATTCAGGGTGGTAATAGGTAAGAGATTGACAGTAAATTTCCTAATATAAGATTGGACAGTCAGAGGATTTCCTAACACAAGATTGGACAGTGGATTTCTTAACTTAAAATATCGTTTGCACTATTTAATTAACATATTTGAAGTCACCCCCTCGAGCCATTAAGATTGAGTCCTAGAACATGAAGTTCCAATCATTAGATCAAAAGCTATTCAGGGTGGTTCGTTTTTTGTGTGCCCTGTACATTATTCTTTTAACTCAAATAACATAAACTTAGAACATTAGCGACTTGAATTTTTTTAAATGATTCTATTATTCTTGCAGCTGACAAATTTAATCTGGGTCAAAAGTTGGATGTTCAAGTGGAGTTCAAGACGACAAGGCAGAATGGTATTATCTTAGCTTTAAGTGAAGGTTACGGGATTCCTTCAATAGCTTTAGAACTCGGAAATGGAACTGTAAGTAAAATTCAGATAATTTTAAAGCTTTTCTTATGTTATATTATAAGTTATAAAATAGGAATTAAAAAACATTAAGGAATAGAATTATTTTCTAATTTAAATTTTCTTTTGTTGTACAGTTTAAATTGAAAGGAGAAAATATTATTCATGTTTGGTAGATTTCTTAAAAGAATTGATTGTAAAGAGAAAATAGGTTGATGCTTTTCAAACAGCAATCTAGAGAATTAATTTGGTTTCAGTTTAGAATGTATGAGAAACAAATTAGAACATAATTTAAACTGAAATATTATTATATATTGAAATATTAATAATAAAATATATTGAATATTTATCTAATTAATATTCATAAATATTATAATAAATTCAATATATTATAATAAATATAAATATATTGAAATATTTCTATGTTTTAAATAAATGAAAATATTGCTCGCACCTTTTTAAAGATTTTTGTTCTTTTGTAAGATTTGTTACTTATTAAGAAATAGTACTTTTATTAAAAATCTAGTAAACCTATTTTCAAAATAATTAAAAAAAACTTTATTGTCTGATACCTATGCCATAATGCAATTTAGAAGAATATATATCTATAAAAAAAATTCAAATAAAAAATATGATAATAGGAAACTTTTCTTTCTATTTTTTAAAATTTTTATTATTTTTTTTATATTCTGCTTTCAATAGCTGAACTTTGCAAATTTTAAGGGCCTAAGTATTTGCTTATATTTAGAGGTTTATGTTGAGCTTGAGAACAAAGACAAAACCAAGTGTAATGAATATCTTAAATTTTACCAGTTGTGAAATATGCATGAATTTTTACTAAGTATTGCATTTTATTTCTGCGATTTTTACCTTTGTTTTTATCTGTTTAAACTTTTATTTTCATAATTATTGATTGTTTTGAATTTCTTTTTCATTAGATTGTGCTGTCTCTTGTGCTGGGAAATTTAGAAAAACCTTTTAAGACTGTGAAAACTTTTGATTCTCCTTATTATTTGTGCGATGGACAGTGGCATATGGTAACTGCTCAATATGCTTACAAAACGGTGACTCTAAAAGTAGACCTTTTTGATTTGGTCATTGGTCACAGTTCATCAGCTCCATTAGAACCAACTACTTCCAGTCCTCTTTTCATTGGAGGCATTCCTGGTATGTAATGGTTCCAAACTTTATCTCCATCAGGTGTTTCCAACCCATGGTTGGAACTTATGATTTAAACTTGGGTTATAGGCTTTCCAGAATTGAATAATTTATACTTCATGGTTGGTAAATAAAGATTAAATCATTAAATATTTTTTTTTATAACATCTAATCTAGAACATTTTATTGTGTTGCACATAGTAAGGATCAGTTTTTCAATTCAACCTAATAAAATTTTTAAATGTTCCAAATTCTTAAAGGTATAAATTCAGGTGACTTATTTTATTTAGAATATGTTTGGTTTAAACTTACGTCAAAATTTAAATTTAAACTAATGTTACAATTAAATTTGACCCTTGATATGAATATTTGCAATTGAATTGATTTTTGCAACTGAGCGATTTTTGAAAAGTTTTGTGTAAATTTCACAGATTACAAAAATATGCAATATAGGCCAAAAAATTAAATTTTCTGTCAGTAACATGTGGCAGCTAGACTCTAATAACTTAGTAGCCACTTTTTCTTCAAACCAAATGAGTCAATGAATGATTTGGATAAGTCCTTTTCATTTAATATTTATTTTTTGATAACTTTTTTTTGATTGGATTAAATTATATTTCTAACAAAAATATTCGAAATAACCTACGACTGTAAAAAGCTAATTAAACAATTAAAATGATATAAATTTGTGACAAAATTTGGTGTTAAACATACAGATTTTAACTTTATTTAAAAAATATTTGGGGTGGCAAAATGCATATAATGTTTACATTACAACTATGAAATTAGTTGAATTGTTAAAGAATTCTCCTTTCACATGACTCTTTCCATCACAAATTGATGAATTCTGAAGGATCAAAATTTTGAATGGAGACATTACACATTTAAATGAAAATGCTGTTTTACAGAGTCTTTCTGCATTAATGTGCTTTTATCTTTAAATTATTTAAAAAAAAAAATTAAAAAATTAAAAAGGAAAGTAAAAAACGATGGGAAAAAGTGACCAGTTGTTTATTTAATTTAAGTGCCACTTCTTGTTGATTCACCATGTGGTGAGTGGTTATTTTCAGATCTAAGGCAGTGTTATATAGTTAGTCCATTAAATTAAAAGTGCAGATTAATGAACCTCTGTAGTTTACTTCGTAACAATAGGTTGCACTGTTTTAATTAAATTGATTAAAGTCAAGAATTTGCAGATTTTTGTAATTTTTTTTTAAATGTGTGCTTTATTTTTACTATAGCATAAGTGTAAAAGGAAATTTTGAAGAATATTAAACATATATGATTAAAACAAAACATTAATGTAATTTAAGATCATTTGTTTAAACTTTTACTTGTATTCAAAGGTTTTTGTAAGTACATCAGTTCAAATCAGTATATTATTAATTAAACAAATTTTATTTAAAGAATTTAGTTTTGTTAAGCATTTCTTTTAAATAATCTCTTTCAATTATCTGGAAGTATTATTTTTATATTTGAAGAGAATTACATAATATTTAATGTTGCTTCGATTATTATGTCAGTAACAGCAACATTTTTATCATCTTAACCTTTTCCATCAAATTTTAAATGCAGCAAATTCCAAATATTAAATTTGTTTTATGTAGTGTAAACAATTTTGATTAAAGAAAAGAAATAAAATTTATAGAAAGCACTTTGAAAAATATTTCCTGATCTGCAATTTATGTTTTTTTTTTCCTACAAAATTTTGTGCCATGTAATTAACTATTTCAGAATTGTCATGCTAAATGTCTCTAGGAATGTGCTTGCATTTTAAATTTCTGTTTCCTGATATGAAAAATATTAAAATTAAGCATGAAAAGTTTAAAAAAAACAATTTATAAACAAATAGAAAGTTAAAGACATATGCAGGCAATTTCTTATCATTATTCTCAATTTTCATACAGTTTAATTCAATACTTTAAACATATTTCTAGACCTTTTATACTTGAAAAAACTAACACACTTCACCAAAGAAGTAGAACATTTTTGCCTTGTGTCTTGATTTCTTTACTTTTTATGTTTAACCAGTCAGAATAAGTTGAGTCAGTGTGAATGAAAGAAATAACACATGTGGAAAACGAATAAATTTATTATATATGTTTTAATCTGTATTGTTTACAATGTCAACATCGATACTAAGTTGCATTGAAATTTGGAAATCAAATGATGTATGTTTTTAAATTTGTCTTGTTTGTTTCACTTCTTCTTGCCGATTTTGACGTAATGTTTACTCGCCAGCATGAAACGTTCTCACTTCCGGCTGACACACCTGCATGCCAGAGCGTTTTCACTTTCATTCTTGACCTCTGCATATTTGTGACAGTGTCTTGGACATTTGGATAACTATAATTTTAGGCACAAGATGGCGTTGATTCTCTATGTAGATTTGACCTGCAAAATGAGAAACATATGACTCACATGCAGAAGGTTTTTGATTACATAAACACAAGGGAAAGAGGAATATTTTCAAATTGCATGCATTATGATGGCTCTTTAAAATGAACACATGGTACAACTTTGATTCAAATTATTTGAATAATTGAAAAATTTGATGTTAGAAAGTCTCATCCTTTGTTTCTTACTTTATTTTATTAAATTACAAATTTAAGGAGTCAATTCTGCATATTTCACAGTATTGTTAAACATTGAAAAAAATCTAAAGTCAATAATGTTAAAATTCATTTAATAGTAAATAAATACTGAAAATTTTTTTGAAAAAAAAATGAAATAAAACAGGAAAAAAACTAAAGTAAATCAAACATTTGAATAAAAAATATGTGTAGTATACGTTGTTCACCTACTTTATTGTACATTATTGCAGAGCACATTCATACTTTGGTAATTTCATGGATTTAGGCTTAACAGCATAAAAAATCCTCGGTCCTGGAAAGGTGCTTGCAAAAGAGACTCCAGGCTTCAGCAACTCCCATCGTCAAAAGGTTAAAACCTAAATATTAATTTCAAAATTTAAAATTTTTTTAAATCTATATAAAATCAGTTTTAGTTGGAAGTATAGAATTCCCCCGAATATTCTTCCAACGAGATTCAGAGAAGGTGCCTTGCTCCAGGTGGAATCAGTTCTTTTTATAGAAGTTTAAAGACATTGTAATTAATATGTATAACTTTATCTGTCAATTTTTATTATTTTAAATCGGAAAACTCGAACTTTCCGTTTGTCAAAGTTTTTTGTTGATCCTATTAGATTCGAATTATTGTAAATTGACAGTATTTAAAGCCAGTTAAAAATTGTGTTAAACATATTTTTCTTGAAATTAATGGTTAAAAATTGGTCATGTTATTTAAAAAGGTGTTTTATACATTTCAGATAACTTGCCTTCCGGTGCTCTTCATAGTCGAAGTAATTTTGTGGGATGCCTTAGAAATCTTGCAATAAATGATAGGCGAGTGGAATGGATTGATATGGCTTCCAGGCATCATGTTTTGCCCAATGCATGTCCAACTTTTTAAATGTTTGTGATACTTAATTCAATTCTGCCTAATCTAGTGGACCTTATCGATTAATCTATGAGACTGCTGTCTAAATAACTCCTCATCAGATGAATTTGAATGCCTGTTTTTTGCTTTAAAAGTATAACTCTTCATTTCTTAAGCTATAACTTCAAAATTTTTTCTTACTGTTTTTCTTGAAGTAAGAGATAACATTAAGAGATAACTAAATGACTAATAAAAAAAATAGTTTCCAACTTCTTCATAAGATTAATAATCTTTATTGTAGATATTTGAACTAGTTTTTGTAAGCTCTTAAGAACATTATTAGCTGTATTCATTGAATAGTTTAATGGCATTTATCTACACTTTGATTTTTTATGTTTTTTTAACACCAGAAAAATAAATCAGCAAAATAAAATTTCTATTTTTTTTAAATAGAAATTTTCTTTTGCTGATTTCTGTTATATTATCTAGAAGTTACAATTCATGGTCACAAAAATCTTCTGAAGTCATTCTAATTGAAAATTGCGGGTGTAAAAAATGGAATTGTCTATTTGAGGTATGAACTTCAAATTTCGTTTTATCTCACTCTAAGCACAGTTAGTTAAATATGAGCTGTTAATTGAGGATTTGAAACCCACCTTCTTCAGATCAATGGGTACCAGATAGTCTAGAAAGTAAAGATGACTTTTAAGCAATGCTGACCACATTGCATCATTTTGCCATTGGTCTGGAGTTTGTGGAGCTTTAACCTTTTTTTTTATCTTATCGACTGACAACGACTGATTTGGAAGAATTCCATTATTTCGTGCTTTCAAGGAAAAATAAAAAAAGCTTTCACCATACAAATTTCAAAATGAGAGAGAGCATATCATAATATCATGTAACTTTTTAATATTAAATTTTCATTTAATATTTTTTTTTATATAATTAAAATGTAACATCGGGATTCAACAAACAAGCCATAGCATCCTCTTTGTTAATTTTTCTCATAAAACAAATAAAAAAAATTATCGTTTTGGTTAAAGAAATGTTTCAATGTTACATGAGAATTTACTATTACTTTAGACCTTTTAAAGATAAATCTATCAGAGTTAACGTAAAACTAAATATTATATTGATGTGGGAGTTATCTTGTAATTATGCATGTAAATATGCTGTTTATCTTTCTGAGTCATTGTTGAAAGTGTGAAATAAATCTGATATTATTTAAAACTTTGTTATATCTTTATTATGATTCAAATCATTTATTGAGAAGTTCTTCTGAATTTAAATAATTGAGAATATGTTATATATTTTTAACATTTGTTCTGAATTTTCATTTATGGGTTCTAAGCCTATTATTGTTCTTTAAAATGTGTTGATTATCTTGAGTTTTTTTAATGTTATTTAATATGTCACTTTTGTTTAGAGTGGCACTTACTATGTTATAAAGAAAAGAAAAAGTTCCCATAACTTAAAATAAAGTAATTTTTTATGTTTTTTATGAATTTTTTTTATTACCAAATACTTGTTGTGCAATGTTACATTAAATATATTAATCCATCCCTCCTTCAAGTGATGGTTTTTCTTTTTTAACTGTGTTTTCCCTGGTGCATGATGTATTTTTCCCATAGAGATTGTAATTATTGTGTTTTTATTATCTTAATTTGTAAAGTAATTTATTTTTTCTTTGTAAATTATTTTATTTTTGTGTTGCAAATCAATGTATGAGAGAGGGCTTGGTTCTTTCATATGCCCTTTGAAGTTCAGTCAAGATTGTTTCTTTGTTTTATATGTACATTCATATATATCTGATCTTATATATTATATTTGAGTATTGCCTATAAATTTGAGTGTAATTTTGATGAGAAATATTTTTTTACTGTCACTGGATAATTCTAATTGTGGCGGTTATGTACAAACATGTTTTGTGTTTATAGTCTGATCTTTAACACTGCCATTTATTTTCATGTACTTACTCAGTTAGCTAGCTTTAATGTAAGAGTATTTTAGCCAAATAAAAAGTGCAATTTCAAAATTGGTTTAACAGTTTTTGCTTTCTTTTAATATAGTTTTAATATTTTTTATTCAACCCTATAAATCATCTATAGCTTATAGGTACAAATGTTTAAGAAAACAAATATATTTGAGAAATGATTTTAAAATATAAAAGAATTTCCAAATGTAAAGTTTTATATTTTTAGAAATTCTAAAATCTATTTATCTTTCTTTAAAAATTGAAAATGCTTCCATTTTTTTTACATTATCGCCAGTTTTATCCATAGATTTTTAAGAATACTATATCACTTTTTCTTTGCCCATGGCATGCCAGTTCCCTGTCATGTCCTTGAGAAAAACATTAAGCCTTCACTTTCACTTCATTGCACTTTAAACTGCCGTTCTTTTGAAATAGTTACTATGAAACATCATAACCCTCATAACTTGTTTCCTGAGTTGTAAAATCATGTTGCCTGTGAGCGATATAGCTTTGACGAGGTTAAAGATGAGGTTCAATGCAACGACAATATTGGCAACCTATCGAGACAGGCATGCAAAAAATGTCTTGATGTTTACAAAAAGGCATCAGCCAAAAAGGAGATGCTGTTTCAAAATAGATAAATTTTAACCCCTTAAACTTATGCATTATTTTAGGTAATTTTTTTTTATTTCTTAAGAAATGGAAAACCTTATTTTTGAAATTGCTCTCATGCAAAGATCCTTACTATCTATTGAATAGTACGCATGTGGCATTTTTTTAAATAGTTATTACTATTAGAAAAGAACAGAAAGAACATTGTGTATACTTGTTGCACCTGATTTCAAAGGATGTTAGAAGTTTCCTTTTCAGTTTTAGTCATTTTGGCTTACATCAAGTTTTATAATTTTATAAGGGAAGCTCTTTGCTGTTTCATTTTCAATAATATGTATACATTTAGTTGTTTATGATTTGTGTTTTTTGTATAATTTTAAAGTAAATATAGTTAAAATTTTACCCAAAAGGATATATTTACTATTTTAGTTCAAAAATATAAATAACTTTATGATGTTGGATATTTATTTGATCATTATTTTTCATTTATTAATAGAAAAGTGCCAATAAAAGATATATATGTAATACTCTAGTGTGTATTTTTTTTTAAATATTTTTAAATTACAGGTGTTGCTTAGTTGAACTCTAAACAAAACTTCTCTCACTTATATCAAATTGTATAATTCTTCAATGTGTGTTATTCTGGGTTTTGAATTTTGAAATTAAGTTTTTCAAAGTCTAATGTAGTCTCTGAATTACACCTCGCTGCATGGAAAAAATGTCTTGATTCTATTCCTGTTGATTCTTCTGTAACACGACTTCTGGAATTGTTATGATCATCATTTTCTGGCTATGACTTTCCCCCAAGTCTTTCCATAATTTTCTGGCCATTATTTTGATTTGTTGGAAGGACAGATTATTAAAACTGTTAAACTTCTTTTGAGGGGCTAGAGACGTAACAACTTTTAAAACATAGGCGAACGCTCTATCCCCTGAGCCATCACGGCTTTGTATCAAACATTGGGAAAAGCTTGCCTGCATGGAGGACTTTTTGATGAAACTAACCGGAGAGGAAAAAAAAAAACTTACGGTTAGCTCGATGGCAAGAGGATTCTAACCCATAATTCGGCCACCACTGAGGATGTTGTATGTCGTCACTGTGGTCGTAGTGAACTGGGAATAATAGAATTTGAATCGACCAGCAAACGCTGGGATTGAACCTGAGTCACGTCATTGGGAGGCAAACGCTCTATCCCCTGAGCCACCGTGGCTCTATTATAACTATTGAATAATTCTTCCTATGGGACTGGACTAAAGATTCTCAACTTTTTCCGAATCACCGCCCACTTTGATAGTTAAAATTATTTTAAACACAACTTACAATTATAAAAAAAATTTTTTTGTTCTATTTTAATTCTTTTAATACTTTAGCTATGATGCCCTTTTATAACCATGCTTTTAAGTTATTGAAAATATACTCAATAATCAATTTATTTATTATTAAATTTATTAATTTTACGAATTTTGATAAAAATAACTCCCGTGTAAATTTTTCTTAAGTTTTTGCATAAGAACAACTTAGCATAGTATTTAGGAGTTTAAATTAAGGACTTAATTTATTTTTTAAACATAATAAAAAAAATGTAAAGTAAGTGTGTTGTTTTCAATCATAGATGCTATCAGGTCGACCTGCTGTCATTCGCTTGTGTTTTTGGTACAGTTAGTACTGAGTTAAGTATATTTGAAAAATTAAATCATTATAATGATATATTAACAAAAAGAATCCCGAAGTTAATTAGATTTAGCTTATATTCCTTAGAATTATTAAATAAAAGAGAAAAGCATAAATTATCTTCAGGAATTCCACCCGGCCCATCGCTAAAAGTCCATTGTGCGACTCTAGTGCGATGTAAATAAAGTACTGCTACTATTAACTTCCTCTATAGTTTTAATGACCATCTAGAAATCCCTAACATAACTCAAATACCCATAATTTTGCTAAAGCCCCCTAAAAGTCTTTACCGCCCACTGGGGGAGGTGTTAGTGCCTACGTTGGAAGCCTATGGATTAAACTATAACTTTCAGGGTGTTTGTAAAGACCACCTTAACATTTTTTTTTAGGTTCTTTAAGAAAAATATAAACATTGGGGATCGCAGATTAATATTGAAATGAGGAAAATTTAGTGTTTTCTAGCTCTATGAGAACATCTCAGTGTTCGGTAATTTTTACTGTAGCGCTTTGGTAACGGTTTTTTTTTGTGTGGCAAAATTGATATTAAAATATGCTTTTAATATTAATGGTTGCTTGGCAATAGGTGAGATAATATTAGGCTGTACTTGTACAGCTTGGTTGTACAGTAGTAGCTGTACTTTATTTATCCGCACTTGAGCTGAACAATGGGTTGAAGGTTTGGGAAACATCCCTGTGAGGATCTGAAGACATGCCATCACTATTTTGATCCTCTGCAGAGGAGATGGCTCCTGCTTTGATAACCTGATGATATACGCACGAAGTCAAGTACTTACTTTAAAGGAGTAACAGTACCTCACACCTTCGGTCACTTCGGTAGCTGATCAAAGTGGTCACTAATTAGATATATCAACCATGCTTTATTCAAAAATTAGAAATTTTCTTTTGGTGAAAGGTTGAAAAGTACTAATAGTGTGTCAGAAAGTTTAAAATTGGCTTTTTACGACTGTTTCAATAGTTAGTAATATTTGAACAATGAAATACTACTTAAATGCAGATGTGCAATTCTACTTTTGCCATAATAGAGTTCATCGTTTCAAGTTGTCAAAATTATGTTAAGGTGTCTATGGTTATACGGTGTTAGGTGCTATCTTAATTTGAAAGCAAGAGTAGCGCTAGACTTATTCTGACAGGGGCCCAACAAATTTATTAAAAATATTTAAAATAACACATCTTTCATACTTTACGCTTTTCTCACGTCATTTTTTTTTCAGAAGTGTGTTTCTAAGATTAATTTTAATGTAAATCTAAGAAGTATTTTTTTCTGTTATTGATGTATTTTGTACTGCATGGTATGGTTTACAACACATTGCAAGCTTAAAAATTACTTCTCTGTAAGAAAGAAAAATTATTGTGGCAGTCACCGCTATTTCGGAAAATTTCCTCGCGTCTCATTCTCATAACGCAAAAATTAATTTATAATAAAAATTTGAAATTTCACGTATGAAATGAAAGGCATAAGGAACATTCTGATAAAATTTTTTATTAATGTATCGATTGGCTTTTGATTCATTTAAAAATAAAATTTAATTTTCTATTCTGTACTGCGAAATAGTTTAGTTTTGCAAATAAAGTTATAAGAACATTTTTGCAACCATGAAGATATCAGGCCCCCTTTTGTACAAGATTCGAAATGGTTTTGCTCATTAAATTGGAAAGTTCGTTTTTTTAAAAAATGTTATTTCGTATAATCTTAAAGACAGAAAAAAAAGAGGATTATTTTAATCAGGGGGCTTGCTGTTATATATGTAAATGAATATAAGGAGACTTTTTAAAAATTTCTCGCTATTATTCTTTTCTTTCGAAGATGCTTTTAAAGGGAACATCTATGTTCAGCAAAATGCTAATTTCTTCATTTGAGAAAAATAGTGAGACTTAAAATATAAAACTCGATATAGCTAAATTTTTTTATAATTTTTAAATTTGCATCAGCGAAACGAATATTAATCAACTTACATTTTTAAAAAAATTCCCACATATGGCCGCCATTCGTCTGCCTATGTCTTTTCTCTGCTGAGCTGAACGGAGACTCTCTACCAAGATTTCTATTTCGCTCTGCAGAACCTCTTCACATATTGGCATGCACCTGCAACGAATAACCTTTCATACACAGGGGCGGATCCAGAAATTTTCCTAGGGGGGGGGTCATAGACTCATACCCCCCCATAATAAAATTTTTTCATAAAAAAAAGTTTTTTTTAAAATATTTTTTTTCTGAAAAAAAAACGGAGGCTTTTAATACTATTCTTCTCATTTATTTTTTTTCATGATGAACAATAGAACAATACATAAATAATTCAAGTATTCAAAATCTTTAAATAATAAATGTAATGCGTTTTTTAGAAACTTTGGCAAATCTGTCAATGATTTTTTCAACATCCAAATAAATTTTTCGATGAATGTTTCATAATGCGAGTCCATTTAATCGTTCTTGATTTTGAGAAGGGTCGAAGAGTTGAAAAGGAACGTTCTGCTGTTGCAGCACTAACTGGCAGAGTTATTAAAATTCTCAACAATTTCGCAAGTTTCCCATCTTCACCTTTATACAATCTTTGGTTAAACCTGTTGAAGCGCGCTTGGAACGCTTCAACAATATTAATGTTTACTCTGAAACTATGACGAATTTCGTTTTAATCTTTTGGATTATGATTCTTGAAACAGTGAAGAACATAATTAGATGGAAAAAAAATCGACCTACCTAGGTGTATATACCCCCTTAAATAATTTTTAAAACATTTTGTTTCTTTTGTAAACTATTAAAAAAATT